CGACTGCCTGTGCTTCCACTAAGAAGATCGACCACCACCATCTCCCTGTCGATTCCGTGATCAACACCGTGAACAGTCGTGATCGCGGAGCAAACCATCATAACAATCAGAACTACCATAACCAGCATCAACAGCAGCAGAATCACCCGTTCAAAGATTACCTGGCCGATGTGTCCAAATACGAAAAGACGGCTAGGGCCTCCTCGAAAAAATATCGGTGGGGCAGATACGACTACGAGAACCACGACGACGAGTACAATTCCGACTAATATTCGGAGGATGCTGAGTTCCCTGGAGAATATTCGACCGAGGGATGATGGAAGGAAAAAAGACAGGAGCAGAGTGAGAGAACAGGAAGAAAGGGGAGAATGCTAAGAGATACTCGTGCGTGTGTGTGCGTGTATACGTGTGTCTGTAGGAGCAAGGGTGCGATGCATATGCAGTAGGTGCGCGTGGCTAAGAGGGAGAGGGACGTAGAGAGACGAGGACGAACAGACAGCGAAGACGAAGAGAGGTAGGTCGTGGTACGCGATCGCTCGCCCGATATTCCTAATTATACATCGTGTGTAGGAACGAAGAGGAGGGTAAAGAGGAAGCTTCGCTTTTTTTTTTTATTTCCTTCGCCTTAGCTTCACCCTCTCCCTCTCTGGTTACTCGTTTCTTTTCTCCCGCTGTTCGTCCACGACAGAAGGTTAACGCGAGGTCCTGTCGGCTTCCGTAGCTCGCGGGATTCGCGACTGTGTCGCTTCATTCCCGCGGCTTGGACGGAATCAACGATAAGATGAAATCGGACGAAAAGAAAGGAACGTCCGTAGCGACCAAACGTGGCTCGTGCGACTGCTTGCGGATATTGTACATACATATTGCCGATTTATGTATATGTACGCGGATACACGGGCCACGTAATACTAAATATAATAATAATAACGTTACCGTATCGATCGACAAACAGAGGAGAAAACTTGTCATGAAAATCGAGTTGGCGAGAGAAATAAAGGGAGGACGAGAGTCCCCTCTACTAGACCAAAGAGTCACGACGACGTCAGGCTGTGAGACTCGAGCAAAATTTATAAAAGGCAGGGCCTGATTGATTTTTTTTCCTTTTTTTTTCTAAAATCATTGACAACTCACGACGTAAGAGAAGCGGACAAGAAAACGCGACAGTGCCTCGTGTTTTCCCGATTAGATCGACTACGTGTGAACTTGATGGAATGGATCGGTGGACATACATATGGAGGATGGAAAAGAGTGCGTAGTAGTAGGTGACTGTAGGGGAATGGTGTAGAAAGGAGAGGCGAGTGAGTAGAGAGAGAATAGAAGGACGTGGCGAGACAATACAGACGGATCGCGATCGAGGACGGGACGGGGACGATCGATAGATCGATCGAAGTACGAAAGGAGGCAAATCGCTCTCTGGTAGAGGATATAAGGGAAACGGGAATACCAATAGTGAAAACCATGACGCTGATGTATGTGAGAAGCCTCGCATTCGATTTTTAGAATGCGAGGAGGCGCCGAAAAGAGCGGGAGAACTAGTTGTTAAATGCAGACGATCGATTTCCCCTTTTTCTTTTTCCTGTTTAACCAGTGAGACTAAACGTACTTAAGGAATCTAAACTTTCTTAATCCGTAGTTAAATTAAGGACGAGTCATCATTCGACGAGTACCGAAAGACGAAGTATAATAATTATTATCTATTTAAGAAAATATTTTAGGGCTTATGTGCTATACATCACAATGCGATGTCGCGAGAATTCGAGAGATCGAAACGTCATAATAGTGACCCGAGGGATTACGTCACGTTTCCTGATAACGTAGCAACGTGTTGTATCTTTTCTTTTTGCTAGTCACGAGCTCTTGTACTTCTCTGCCGGTTGTCCAAAGAATATTCAATTTTTCATTTTCTTTTCGTTTTTTCTTTTTCATTTCTTTTTCATTTTTTTTTTTTTTTTTTCTTTTTCATTTTTTTTTTTTTTTTGTTCTTTTATTTTTCTTATGTATAGATAATATGTATGTATAAGAGAGATCTTAGTTAGTACAAAGTGCTTTCTTGAGTGCAGAGTCTGATTTTATCGAGCATCGCGTATTAGTGTCCTTCGAATGTGCACCGTCCACAAACTTGGACGTTTTAGAAGAACTTTGTCAGCCAACTTTTTAACAAAAAAACACACACTCACTTTACACACACGTACACATATACATACAAAGACATTGCTTGCAGCGGGGAGAAAAGGAACAAAGAGGAGATTCTTCCTCCCCGTCGCAACGAAGATGTTCCGATTTTTATAAACACGAACGTTCGATTTCCCTTTTTTAACGAAAATATTGAAAGAAAAAAAAGTCCAACGTACAAAATAATATTTCATAGAGACGGTTTACTTATACATACGGTACGCAGATTGGACGCGTCGTGTCTTTTCTTGCAACGAAGAAAGAACGAAAGATTTAACGAAAGAAACACTTCGCGACGGTGCACGGATATGTGATACAGACATGATGTTGAAGTACGATCGACGAATGATTTTCGGATCATCGGGAAACACGTGTCTAGTCTACGTGCAAAGAGGCGTCAGTGAATAGAAAACGACGCCGCGTGTTAAGAACCTCTCTCCACACAGAGAACGAGAAAACTCTTTTCTTTAGACTAGTAAGCAAATCAGACAGGCGATTTCAAAGAAGGCGCGTTTTAGGTGATACGGTGTATAAGGTAAGCGAACCGTTTCGCCCGCGCTAGCCCGTAGAAGCAATTCCCATGAACGGGATTAGACGTACCATCGAAAACCGAAAACCAAATCTTTTCCTTAGATAGCGAAGAGAGACTAATTGGATAGACGAATATCGAATTACCTTTTCTTAAATACATGTTACCTTGTAACGATGATCGGGACTAGCGCGAACGAACATGGATCGTAAGTACTTAATCGTGAGTAAATTTCGAAAATTTCTTAAGCTCCTAGGTTTAGTATAACGCGACAGAAAAAAAGCGTAGCATATATATATATATATATACACACACACATATATATACACATATATATATGTTGTCCTATTTATGTGTACCTTCTTGTGTCTAGTCCGGGAGCGAGGAACGGGTTGTTCGTTTGAAAGAGAATACGCTCCCTAGAAGCACGACGATATACACCTGTCCTCCCTCCCAAAAAAAAAAAAAAAAAAAAAAACGTAATTTGAACCTCAAGCAACAGATGCTTTCTGCTAAGATTTTATTTTATTTATTTGGAGTACTCGTGAATATCGATCGGTCGCGTGCGACGCGTACACCCCTCGGTTCTTTCGATCGGGTGTTGTTGGACGACGCGATCGACGCGTCCACGGGGCAAACAAGATCTCGATATTAGTGCAAATTATACACTGGTCGGCTGACAAAAAGCAAACTGGCGTCATCGCGTGCTGTGGCGTGTGTTACAGACGTCAGAGATAAAGGAGAAACGATTCGCCCCTCGTTGCTTCGATGCTTCTTGCGCCGATCATGACCCTTGGTTGATTTGCTGCGAACGTACGACAAAATGATAGTAACACGACTTTGATCGAAGCAGGATAGTTGCGTAACTGGATACAATGGTGCGTATAGGAGATGATACCACACATATATAATTGTAGCTCGAATGACTTTTGGCGAAGCGTGAGGATTTCGAAGGGGGAACGTCCGATAACCCCCTAAACGGGGGACGAATCGCATGTAAGAAATCAGTTTCAATGTTTTCTAATATTAAAACTATACATTTTCTCCTTTTCATAATTATTATTACGTATATTAATTATACTTATTATTCTGGTTATTATTATTATTATTATTATTATTATTATTATTATTATTATTATTATTATTGCCATTGTCATTGCCATTATTATTATTATTCATTATTATCATCATCTTCGTCATCGTCATCATCATCATCATCTTCATTATCACGATCATCGTCACGATCATCATCGCTATTATTATTATTATTATTATTACTATTATTATTATTATTATTATTGCTATTATTATTATTACTATTATTAATTATGATCGTATATAATTTTTGTGTCTCTCGTCTAGTAGCTACGTGTAAAACCTTAATGCCTTTATTATCTATCTAATTTTTCGTACCACTACAGAGGAAAAAAACGTCTTACTCACTTTACTTAACATCATACTACTACCGTTACTTTCTCTCAACTGCTATAACTACTTGCTATAACTATTACTATTATTACCACTACCACCACCATCACTGCTACTATTACTTACTATTATTACTACTACTACTACACTACTACTACTCCTACTACCTCTCCTACTACCATTACCACTACTACCACCACCACCACCACTACCACCACCACCACCACCACCACCACCACCATCACCACCACCACTACTACTACTACACTACTACTACCACTACCACTACCATTACCACTACCACTACTACTACTATTACTACTACTACTACTGCTTACTACTACCGATTATTTATTTATTTATTTAATTATTATATAACATAACAGAAATTATGTTTTATTTAAGGATTAAACTGATTTGTGTTTGGTTCAAATACGTCGTTTGTTTTATTTCGATTACTTGTTTCAGTTGCCACCAGCCTCCCAAACAACCATGGTTTACATCTACATTCTCTATCCATCCTGATAAAAAAAATATAATATATATCTTCTTCTGCTTCCTGACATTCCTCGTTGCTCACAGAGACTGATGTAATCGATGCGTAGCACGCGCGAGCGCAGCGTACACCGACGTTTCGCTGGATATTTACTGCACGCTCGTCGATCGTGGTTCGTAACATTTCTATAATTATCTTTGTTCCATCGTGGGCGACCCCGTGGAACCGACAAGAAATTCGTGTCCATCGAGAAGTTTAACCGTCTGCGCACGTAAGGAGAGGAGAGTCGTTCGGGCGCGTGAACCGACACACGAGTCTCTGCTTCTTTCCCACTGATAGTCTGTGATCTCAAAGGCAATGTTCGCGTGTCGATCGACGCGTCGAAAAGATTGATCTCAAACCTATCGATAGTCGCTGTACAATTACAATGCACGAACATCGGACGTTTAGTCAACGATATTGAATCGTATAAGAATGTTGCGTTAAGTATCGAAAGGTGAAGGTCGATCGGAAGGTTCCAAAGGCGCCCACGATCGTAGAAAATTAATGGAAACGGTTCGTGATACTTGAGAAAACGATAGAACTCATTGTTAAAAGTACAAATGCCACGAGGCGGTCGCGCAAGTAGCTTTAATACTCTCGTGCGCATTTCGGTTATATATACTGCCCAATGTTGCGCCAATAAAACAGTAAAACTATACGATAGAGACTTGTTGGAGTGTGAAAACCAATCATTGATAACGATAGGCGAGGACGTAGTCCCTCGGTGAACTTGAGACCGTGTCGAAGGACGGAAACTGGTGCCAAGGGGAAAGGGAATGAAGCGCGTTCACGTCATCAGTTGCCTACGTAAATAAGGATATTATCGAGAGAAAATGATATTGTCACGATGATGATGGAACGATGACCTGGTGAGGACGAGATTAAAAAACAAGGCTGTTTCGCTCTCTTTCCTCTTTAACGAGTGCAATAACGGTCGGAGCTGCTCAATTTAGCGCACAGTATATTAGAAGAGGTTGTCGATGCTACACAGACTCGAAAGGGTCGAAGAGACGCACAACGCGACGAGGATACTCGTCGGGACGACGGATGATAGCGCAGGCCCTGTCCCGTTCTTTCCAATGTAGAGAAAGCCATGGAAAAGGCTAGGGGAAAACGTGGAAAGATCGATCGAGGCAAGAACGCGAAGACAAAGAGGGAACTACGGAGTAAGAAGAAAAGAAAGGGAATGATGAGAGAGAGGGAGAGAGAGAGAGAAAGAGAGAGAGTGAGAGAGAGACGTGAAAGACAGCGAGAGTGGGGGGGGGGGGGACACGCTAATCTACTTAACTATAAAATTATATTACCATACGATTATTACGTTAGATATACATTATATATATTGTATTTATGTCTCAATAATCGTTGTTAGTTATATCGCTATCGATGATGACGATGATAATGAGTGTTTTGTTATCGGTGATTAATAGAAAAGAGAGGGAATACGGAGTCAGCAGACATATACACATACATACACGTACACAGGGAACACAATAGGGCACACATTTACGCGATAATGGCACCATGTGTCTATTCTCGATGATAAGATGGATATTTGAGACGGGAGGATGATCGAATCGCTTTCGAACTGATTCCGAACGCTTTGAGGATCTCTCGCGAAGAACGCGAATCCTCCACAAGAGGATGCCGCATAGCAGTTGGAAATTGAATTTTTATTCGACGCACGACAATTGGAATATCGACAAATTTGCGATCACGTTGTAAACAAAAATTTATATCGCCTGTAACTCTCCTATGACCTGTATAAATTTTTAATAAACTCATTTAATACAAAGCGTTTTGAAATCGGTCCGAACGTGACGTGAAAGTTTCGTCACATTCCGCGGCTTTTAGATAATTTCACCGACGGACGAACGACGTTACCTTTATTAGGACATTTGCATTTAGTGGTTAGCCGCATTAGCCATATTATTACCCGTAAAAGTCAACCATTTATACTTCTCTTGTACCTTTTAACCAATGAAAAAGTAAAAAAAGTAAAAAAGGTGTTTCTACGAAGGTGTCGAAGGAGTGGTTTATCGATTCGTTCTCCGGATCTTTACGAATTGACAAATTCAGCCAACTTCTTCTATCCGAACAGCTTACGTTCCTTATTAGTTAGTAATTTTCTTAGTTAGTGAATTCTCTGCAGCTTTCTTGGCGTAATTTGTCATCTTCGAGAACAGGTCTCCTGCCTCGTACAGCATTACGTGTATATCGCGAACAAACATCCCTTAGTGGCGCAAAGAATGTGCAAATAGGCAACATTTCCAATATCGCCAATATGTATAAACCGATCGGATTTCCAAAGAATCCATCGACTATATCGATTATTCATTGACGTTAATTAAATGATTAGAACTAAACAGCTACGGTTCTGGCAGAATGTGAATGACGATCGATGAACGAAGTCTCCGGTCAAGGGACTGTTCCATCTTCGTAATAGTGAATACGCATTTCTTCAAGAGATCCAACCGGTGAATAATTTAGAAAACATCATGATCGATTCGAATCGAAAGAGGTTTACCTATTCTTCATCGGAAACGGTCTCGCGAAATGAAATACGTCGCTGTCAGTTTGAACAACGCACAATGCTGTCTCTATTCGACAGCTTGTCGATCGTTTTATAAAGGCGAGTCGATCGTCGATTCACTGTCGGTTCCAGTGTCGATCCAGGGGATCGTTGTCCCTCGTAATCGTCGTCCTGTTCTCTCGTCGTCGATGCTCGTCGTGATTCGCATTCATCGTCGCCGGAAAGGCGCTTCATCGTCACGTTAGACGCATTCGAGATGCTCGATAGTGGTTGTCGCGCTCGACGATCCTCGTGATCGTTCGTTCGATATTCGATTGAGTCTATTCAATGTCGATCCGTGTTTATCGCGCGGCAACGTCGAGTCGACGATTCGCTGTTTCGTCCTTCGCGTCTCGCTGTCGTGTACGGCTCGCGCGCAGGTCTAGAGTGGAACGACAACGAGCAGTTTTAACCGAATGAGAACGAAAGATCTCGAGTTGTTTAAAGGCAAAGCAAAGAGGTATATGTAAAATACACAAGAAATACTTACCGAATCGAAAGTGAAATTTTGCTCCTCGAATAGACAAATTTTTTGAGAGAAAGGGCCAATATCGACGGTAGGGAATTTACATTTCGATCGGTAGAGTGAAAGGTGATTCCTAATCGATCGCGAGTGGATCGAGGTGGATTTATCTATCGTTTAGACATACACGTGGTTTTAGCCAGACGGCGATCGATGATATTTAAAACGACATTCCGTGACTGCGTTGCTCCTCTTCGAACGAAACAAACTAGAGGGATCGTCGGTGTACGGGGCGCGCGATCAAACAGCAAAAGCAACCTAAGAGCAAAGTAAGAAACTACGAAACAAAAAGAAAACAAAGGGTAAACAATCCTCTTCCAATTTGTACCGAAGCGACTAAATACCGCAGAGACTGAGATTTTAGGCGAAGTTAATTAGCTCCGAATGATCGTGGCTGCGATCGATGATACTCTCCTGAAACTTCCAGGGAAACTAGAGACTCCCGACAACACAGCAAAAAATAAAGAGAGGATAACGCATAAGCAAAAAAGTGGTTTTTCTCGTGGACTTAGGAGAAGAACAAGAGCGTTAGAACTAGCTGTTTAGAGATTACGTATATCGTGAACCCCCAGCGATTAGGATAATCGATCGAGCCTCCGTGATCACCGAGCTCTCGTTCGTTGTCCATTTGCGGCTAGAGTTTCGACAACTCGAAACGGCAACGAACGTTTTCGGATCCAGTGATGTAAATCTTCGTAGAGTCGTTCGAGACCGACGAACGACGCGAATATAAGCGGAACGTGGAGCTCGATGGCGCGAGGCTCGATGAGACCGGAACGAGAATAGGCTCCCGACTTTTTGAATCGTTTTTTCTTTTCTAGGAAAAGCAACAAATGACAATTCGCGAATTTTCGAACGAACTTTTTTCCAGCGGACTGACGTGACGTTGGGGTGGCGGAAGGGGTGAACGAAATCGAGGAAAATCCAGAGACAAAAGGTTGACAAACACCGCGCGTTTTACTTGCACAGCAGCAATTGGAAAATAGACGACGGATTCATTTTTCGTCTCGGTCCCCCTGCCGTCGCTCGACGAAGCAACTTTTTTCTCGTTTAAAAACCACCGTGCCGGGCCTTCGAGCTTCGATCGTCTTGTCAGTTTCGCAGCTTACTCGCTCAGCGTCTAGTACACCTGCCTTGGAGTCGTAAAACCATTACCGCTACCCTTTGCCCACCTCAGTTTCCTTTGTGTTCCTCTTGTCCTCGTTATCGAGTCGACTGGAGCGACGCTCGTCTCGTCAGGCTACTACCCTTTTCTCTTTCTCGTCCCTTTGTCGACGATTTCGACCTCTCGGTCGTCCTTCTTTCTTTCATCCCTGTTCATTCCGCTTCGATCGTTGCCGCGAGTTCGCAGACCGAGGCGTTTCTTTGATCACGAAAGACGGTGTACTCGACCCTGGAGCGAGCACAAAACCAAAGAAAAAAATGATATATATATGTGTGTGAGTGTGAGAGAGAGAGAGGGAATGTAAGAATGAGCGAGCGTGCGCGTGAGAGAAGGAAAAAAGGGAATGAAAGGGTGAAAGAGCGTGGAGAGGCGTCGTATATCGCTGGAGGATGAAATTATTTTTACGCGTTCTCAAGCACGTCGTCCGACCGGATGCGTTGCCGGAACGTCGAAAGTCGGCGCGGTTACAGGGGGAAGGGGGGGGGGGCAGATTGAAAAACGAAGGGAGAAAAATTGTCGCGACAACAAAAAAGCAGCTCTAGCTCACAGTAGGCCTAACTAACAAACAAAGCGAACAAAGAAACAAAGAAAATGAAGATGAAAAGTATTTATATACTTAAGCTAACTAATTAAAAAAAAAAAATATAAAAAAAACGGTCGAGAAAGGGAGAGGGTGAGGTCGGCGAGAGAAAGAGAATCAGCGAATTAGAAGGGGAACGAAAGAGACTGATGATTGCGTGCGAGAGAATTAGAGAGAGAGAGAGAGTGTGTGTGTGTGTGTGCGTGTAAGAATAATTAGAGAGGAAGATTAAGGAGAAACAGGTAGAAAATAGGAAAAAAGTAAAGAAATAAAAGTCCTCGAGATTTACTCCGAGGCGAGTCACTCGCGGATCAAGAGAAAAGTCGATAACTACTCTTTAACAAAAGAAGAAAAATGTTACAAAAGAAAAAAAAAGATGAGAAGAGAGAAGTAGGAGGAAAAAAGTTGGGGGGGAGGGGTAAATACAAAGGTGGCTAGAAAAAAATGACGATAAAGGGAAAACGGCTAACGGAAGAGGAGGAGCGAGATGGATCAGTGGGGGAAGAAAGAGATAATCTATAATCTTCTGTACATGTTTTGATTATTCTAATTATTAATTATCGTAACTTATAATAACTATTAATTAATTAAATTAATTGATATCTATGGAACTGTATTTAAACGACAAAAAAACGTGGTAGCTAGTTTGTCAATGGGTGTATAAATATTTAATTACGATAACTCTATAGTGATACTAAAAATGAAACAACAACAAAACAGAAACCACAAAACAGCAGACAAACAGAATACAAAGATAATGTGCGCGTGCAAGGGACAAGAGATCGTGCCAGATTGAATGGGATTTACGAATGGCAATGAGAAAATGAGATAGAATGAACGCGACGAAAGAATCTGTGACTAAATACGCGATTTAAGAGAACACACACGTACATACACAAACACGTAAGCATCCAGATGATATACAGTATATGTAATTAATTCCACTTTAAACGAGGAAGGAAAAAGCGAAGCGAGATGAAAAAGCAAAATAGATTTAAAAAAAAAAAAAAAGGAAAGAATAAGAGAAAAGGAGAAGAAACAAAGAAAGGGTTAAAAACCGAGCGCGGATATTATTCATTAAGGGCGATCTGATTGGTCGGACTGGTCTCGAGCGGATCAGCGACAAATGTGTTAAAAAAGAAATAAGAATGAAAAAAGAAACGAACTGTTGCAACGGGTGCCCCGGAAACTTTGGTTCTGCACATTTTCCGGACACGCAAAGAGCAAAGTGAGTTTCACGGTGCTTCGTGGGGGTTTCTTCCGTTTCATTTCCGTTTTATCTCCTTGCACACTTTCTTCTTCTTCTAGTGGTCGACGCGTAAACGAAATGCTCTCCTAAAAGCAACCGCCGCTTTTCGCATTTCTGTTAACAAAATAGGAAAGATTCGCACGATATATATGATACATACGTGTAGATACAAGATGGATCATACAATGGTGTTTTCTAGGTACATTCGATCCTTTGTATTCCGTGAACGGATTCGAACCGATTTTTCAGAAGGTTCACCGTGACGCAGCAAATGAGTTTGCTCGTGTTCTTCCGTTTCTTTTTCTTCGTGTTCGAGCTTGTTCTCTCGAAGACGACTTCTCAAAAAAAAAAAAAAGAAAAAAGAAAAAAAAGAGAAAGAAAAGAGGGGAAGAAAGAAGAAGAAGGACAAAAGAAAGGAAAGAAACCAAATACACGTGATTCGAGAAGCGAATCGAGTCCTTCTCATCGTTCATGGATTTTCTTGATAGGATAGCGATATTTTTTTTAAAAAATCCTTCGATGAATCGTTTCTGTCACGTTTGTCGTTTCATTTTCGTTTTCAAACATTTGTCACGGTACTGGTGGGAAACGACTTTGGTCGATCGTAGGAGGAAACTGGTCGAGTCTCGTAATCCATGCGCTGTTTAAATAATTTATATTTTGCCGAAGATATAACGCTTGGTTGAACAGGGATGGGAGGGGGGAAAGATAGATTAATTCCTTTTCATGTATATCAACGTGTTTAAGTGTAATCGAGAGACGGAAAGACTGTCGGTAAATCAATTGCTCATACCGGAACGCGATATATAAATTATTTAAAAGGATAGTGGCAACGAAAGGATAATCGTCGTGGTACGATCTGTAGAGAATCGAAGATCTCAATTCACTGTGTCCGAATCAATGGAACGGATCAAACCTCTTGATCGCGCCTTGGATCCCGTCGTTTTACGCTTCTCAACATCCTCCGTCGCGAGATAAGGAATCAACGTTAAGATATCGTACAAAATATAAGTATAAATACGCAGATGGTACTTCGTCGAGGAAATTTATATTTAAATATAAATTCAGCGTTCGTGTTCGCCTGCTGAATTTATTTCTAAAGCGATGAAACTCGTCTATCGAAGTACGCTGTTTACGTACGTAGGATTTTAAAAAGGAACCAGACGACGATCAAAAGGTTGATAGATCGTGAAACAGTATCGATCGCGCGTTTTCGCGAGGGCGTCGATCATCGCACAAGAGCGCACAGTAAAACTAGCGAACGAAAGCGTATTGTAGGATGGTTTCACGCGAAATTAGTGGTACAGTTAAGGCAGCTTTCAGTTGTTTCGAAAGAGGAAGGACGAGGGCAGGTGGGAGAACAGAAGTTTTAAACAGTGAGGTGCTTGTTAGATCTCGACGATCTCGTAATATCGAAGATACATTCCATCCGAGTACGAGGGCTCTGGCGCGGAATAAAAGACTTCCTTTTCTCGTCTACGACTACTTCGTTCCATGCTTATTTTCTCGTTCGATGTTTCAACGTTCGTTGACTACTTTTCGCTTTTTCAGATTTAGTCTCTTTCGATCCTGTTGCTAAACCTAGACCGAGTGTTTGATTTAACCAATGGACGTGTTTAGAGAAGATACGGTTGCATTTAAAAGGTGATTTATGGATCACGTAGACGAGGATCGTCGAAATTTTGCACATTCCAAGACGGCAAGACCCTCGAGGTACAAAATTCGCGATTAATAACCGTACGTAATTATATTTAGACGCGTTTCTAACGATCGATCTCGAACGGACGCGTTCTCGTGAGCGAAACCGCCAAAAAGACATTTATCCTTTTTCTATTGAAAGGACGAGGGATTTCTATAGGGAATCGAATGAAAGTTTATTCATCGACAGTATTAAGATAAGAGGAGCTTTTTCGCGGAGAGATGTTATCCAAATGAGCAGCACACTTGTAGAATCATTTCTGGAAACTTGACGCTGATTTTATCGATAATTCAATTTAGATCGAACTTGGCTTTTCCATCAATTTCAAAAGCAGCATATTTTCCATCAGAGATTCGCCAGTTACTTTTTAATCGATCTGGTTTCACCTTAAATATATAATTGAAACGTGGTATGTGTATACCCTTTAGCTTTTCCATCTTCTTTCGTGCATTTTTTTCAAATCTTACCGAAAAGTTTTTCGAATGGCGTTTAGTTTCGAAAAATAATTCCACGTGTGACCGATAATTACCAGTGTAGAAGATCCTCGACGCGATCGAGGGAATCGAGTTTCTACACTCGCAGTTGTCGCAGTGATTCCGTATTAACTATTATAATACCAGATTTTACCATTACGATATTATAACGTTGTATGTATAAGTGTTCATAAAAAAAAAATTTATTATCACCCAGGATAAACGCAGTGCAATACATTTATCGTTCTCAGTGATTTTCTGCAGGGCGTGTGTGAAACACATCGATCGAGTGGAAACAATGCAAAAAAAGAAACAAAATCGAAGGAATAACAAATTTAGAAAAACAGAGAGAAAGAAGGCGAGAAACCGTGCGTCTCGTTTTTTGTCCACTTTACGCGAAATTCGACGCCAATCGGATCGATAAGAGATCGAAGAGAACTTGATCGAGATCAAAAGATATTTCGCGACGCGAGACGACAACAAATAGATTAAAGCAATTAAACAAATAAAAAAAAGAAGTACACATATGTTGACCATTTTAAGAGACAAATTTTGACGGTCCGTTCGTAAGGACAAAAATAATTAAAAAGAAAAAAAAAATGGAAAAATGCAAAAACATCGTTGATTTTCAAAGGGATCACGACCGAACGTGAAATCTGTCCGACTGTTACGAATTGTCTTTATAATAAACATTTACAGCTTTAATGGGAAACAACCGTAGACGTAAGTGAACGGAGGGCACTAATCTAACGAGAAACAAAAACAGAATCGAAAAGAAAAAAAACACAATTAAAAATAACGCAAAAAAAACATAAAAGTAACATAGAAAAAAAAACGATATAAAAAGAGAGAGAGAGAGAGAGAGAGAGATACGTAACGAGAGTGCGAGAAAGTGCGAGTGAGTGAACGAACGAAAAACGCAAGGGAAGCTATTCGTCACCCCCGAAATTTTCTGTCTCGAATAAATACCGTTGTCTTTTGATTGTCGTTTTAATGGACAAAACCATAAACTATGAATGATTTTGTAACTTAAGGAAATATAAGTTGCTCTTAAATCTGACACGGACATGACTTTTTTCACCTGTAATTTTCTCGATAACACGCTTCTGTTTTGAGCCTTCTCGTTTCATCTACGTCTCTGTGCAAGTCCGCCACTTTTTTTAATCGCGCGATCCAACCGAAACACCTTTGCTTTGTTGGCGATCGAGAAAGGAGATTTGGTTCGCTCGATTTCTCTTCTGTTTGATTCGACTCGTGTTTAATACGGTGCGATCTGATATCGTCGTGTAAATTAACTAAGTGATACGCAATATATATAATGTTGATCGATTGACAAGCGAGTCGGGTACCATTGCCACTATTTTGACAGGGATTGTCGGCGATCTGTCAGCGAAAGGAACATTGATCAAACTTCGAAACATGTTTCTTTTTATGAAAAATTACGTTCAAATACTTAACAAACGTTAGCGTCTTTTTTCGTTGGAAATTTAAAGTTCCTATACAATCGTATTAACATGATCCATCTTAAACTCTATCAAAGCTATACTTTCTCGATTTCGTTAGTTTCGACTTAACGGGCACATGTTGCTCTCATATAATTACACTTAATCTGAGAACGAGTTAAATCATTTGGCGCGTTCTAGCGCCAGCGAAACCAAAGAAACGGCAAAAGTATCGAGAGATGTACGGGAGACGATTTCAAAGCGACGTTCCATTCAGAGCGTAGCTTTCGTCAATGTGTTCTGGTATTCTGGTGTTCTTCTCGATCATTCGGGTCAAACCGAATCTCTTCGTGACTTTCCAATAGAAATCGGCGAGTTAGGGCTAACGACTATAGAGTCGCGTGCGTTTCCAAGTGGAGAGACAACCGGAGAGTTTCGTTGAAAACGCCTAGCTACGTCGTCAAAGTTAATAATTGTTGAACGAACCGAGAGAAAAGTCTGATAGAAGCGTGTTTAACCGGAATGAGATGAAAATAGAAACTAACGATGCAAAAGAGTGAAAGAGAGAGAGAGAAAGGGAGAGAAAGAGAGATGAGAGATGAGAGAGAGAGAGAGAGAGACAGTAAAGGAGGAGGAAAAAAGCAAGGAGGAAAAGAGTAAAAAAACGCGAATTATAATAGAGTAATGTATTTTATGACGGGTTTTAATACGGTATTAATAGCGATATTTAACTGTAACTGATAGTAAAAGACGCTATTTAAATGTGAGAAATTATCGGTCGACACGTGACACACGGTGGTATAAACTGTACGGTAAACTACTATAAGATTATAACGATTAGGCGTTAGATCGTCGAAACGGGAAAGAAAATGGACGAGAACAAGTAAGATATTAAAATAGCGGAGAGAAAGAAGAAAGTATATCGAATTGAAATGAAATAGAAAGGATCTTTTTTACCAAAGGATTTTTGCACAAAGAGATTCCGATGGACACGCGTTTCTCTTTACTTCTTTCCGTTTGATTACGCGTTCATCGGACTGAATTACTTGAGCGAGAATTTCGACTGATATAAGATGAAATTTAATCCTTACGCGTATAATAAAATAGACTAAAGAACGCGTGTTTTTAGCAAGAAAAGAGGGAATGAGCATTTAAGTAAACCCCGTGTTTCGATACAATGGTACTATCTTAATATAATATTTTTCTTTTGATAAAGTGAAATCATCGATGAAGTTCATTGGCTAAGGATTAAATTTCAAATGGTTCTCGCCAAAGTTTCTGATGCTTCCAGTAATTACGGAACGATCCCAAACAAAATACTGTCAAATCTACAAGAACGTTCTCTGCTAAAGGACAAACTCTACGTGTAAAAGCTAAATGTAATATCATCGGACGTTCCGCGAAAAGGACTGCACAAAATCATACGTGATAATGATTTACGAACGTATATAGGATATATGTATAGCGAGTAATATCACCAGAGAGGAGCTATTAAAAAAAGAAAGAAAGAAAGAGACGAGAAGGAATTCCAAAAATTAACACGTTTCACACCCAACGGTGAACGCGAGAATCGTGATAGGTCGATTATTGATGGGACGATTTACGATAAAAAAAAAAGTATAGCGATTATTTATTATTAAAAAAATGTTTAGGGTGGGATGGAGGGGTTGAGGGAGATCAGTGAGTATAGATAAAGTAAGACTGATTTGTGGAAGGATTGCTTGGCTCGAATATCGTTTTTCGATCGATCGGTAGGCTATGAACATTGACGTGGCGATGTTTAAACTAATAATGCTTAGTTTAAACTAGATATAAATTATATAATTAAAAATAGAAAAGATCTTCTGTCATCGTTTCATTTCCGAATACAGTGTTTTAGAAAATTCAAATCGCGTCTGATCGGACGCGATACGCGCTACTATCGATCGAATTAAATGTCAAATAAGATATACCTATACTTGGAAATCGAAACTCGATACTGTTTATACTAGCGTTGATCGAACGACCTTCGAGACAAGTCGACGAATAGAAAAACTTCTAAGAAGTGAAAAGATTTTTGCTAAAAACTTCGCTCCATGTCTGATCTTGCACGGACTTACACTACTTTTTGATCGGGTGGTCCTCGATCGAATTACCGAGCGAATAGGAAACAGAAAATTTTCTAGGGAAAGATGAAAAGAAATAATAAGAAAGAGAAGTCTCTTTTTTCGCGGAGATGCTACTTTCTCTGCTAGGAAGTTTGGCCTGCGTCTGATCACGCACGGACTAGAACTACTGTCGGTCGTGCACAGGCCTAACGTTCACGCATCGACCAAGCATCGGAACACCGAGCTTCTTCCTCTTTCTAATTACCTCGTTAATTGCTAGACACTCGATTATCCACTTCGGTGATTCTACGTTGGCGAGCGAGTTACTTTCGTTTCACGTCAGAAAATCGAATTAACATTTATATATATCGTTGATCATTTCGATCGCGAATGACACGAACATTGTTCATTGTTAAATCACGATTGGTGCTTTGATCGCAGCATATCGAGACTAGAATCAAGAAGACAATTGGGGAAAATATAGAGATCAGAAGGTTTCTTTTCGAGCTTTTACGTGGGTGACAGTCGTGGAGGATATTTTCTTTCTATCTTTGTAACAAAGAGCATCTTTGATCATCATCGGGATCCTGACGAAATTATTTCTCAAAGAATTAATTTCACAGGGTGCCGTCACCGCGAAGGATACCGTGTAATCACTGTTAACCGTCGATCCATCGTACGTCGATACATCGATATGTTTCCAAATTCAATCGATCTATCGATCCAACGATCGATCGATCCTGTTAGAAACGTTGCGCCAACAGATCACTTAACCTCTTAAAGAGTAGAATCTTCAATCGACTAGCGCTCTCGAATCAAATTAAATCGATAATTTGTTTGTCGAGCATTTCGCGAAATATACTTTCTTCGTATAACTTTCTGATGGGGCCGAGCATCGTTTTATTTACAATTTGTCTAGGTACGAAACGCGAAGGAATCTAAACCTATATACGTATAATCTGTATTTAATTATCGTCATTTATCATATTACTGTGTACTTATCGCATGATTATTACTTACACGTATTATTTATACAACTACAGGTAGGAATTCCCATTGAAGTATTATGTGGAGGTTAGATATATCTATATATACATTACATTACATTATATTATATTATATTATATTATATTATATTACATTATATTATATTGTATTTACATTATATTATATTATACACGTATATTTCTCACATGGAAATTTTTCAAGCATCTGAATAACACCGCAACGGCTATTGTTGTGCAATAAGTATATATGGGCGTGCTTTTTAAGAGGTTAATCGGGATACCGATTTAATATGTAGTACAGAGCAAAAAGCTTCCTCTCTACACAACACATATACGCATACACAAACACATAATACACGTTCATATGCATACGCAAGTCCGTCTTAATAGGTTCAAGTAAAACCTCGAATTACAGTTAAAATTAGCGTAATATTATAATAATTTTCGTGACATTGTACTGTTATAATTGTGTACATTCATTTAAATATTCATACATGTTTAAAAGTCGATGTTACGTAAGTAGTTTGATCTATGTACTTTTTCTATTTACTTATGTGTTGTAACTATGTACCATATTGATAGTTTCATTGCGTATGTGTAATCATAATTTATCAAATAGCAAATTCGAGGTTTATTCGATCTAAAATGTAACCGGCCAAGCGGAGCAAATTAGAACACACTTTCTTCATCGCAGAACACACGTATACGCATTTTGCATGCAGGTTATCCTCATAACGGAACAGAATTCATTTCTCGAGGAAACAACGACGGGATGTTCGTTCCTGATGGGTTCCGTCGAGCATTCTTCGTCGTCGCCTCAACGTCACTTTAGGGCAACGAACTAGAAATGTGTTGAATATTTACACGAATTTACAAGATTCTTGCTAATGTACTTTTTCTATATCATACACGAGACAAATTACAGTGCACACATAGGTGCATACCATATACACATGAACAACACGAGGCATACACATCTCAACGTACTCTTGTATCTTTAACATCTAACAAAATAGAGGAACGGAAAGATTATACATTGGACGTACTACAACTCCGCGTACAATCATAGCACACAAATACATGATTACATGCACCCACACGTACAAGAAAAAGAGACCATTCACGCACACTGTGGCACAGAACAAAGACACAAAGATGACTTAAAAAATAAAACAGACAAAAACATTTTCGAGAACACGTGCGCGCCATCACAATTGTTGATATAAATTGCGATCCATGATTATTACTATTTACGATATAATTATTATCTTGCATTGTCTAGTCATACGTTATTATTGTATAACTAACGATATTAATTATTAATTAACCTGTACTACCTAGTCGCATTATGTGTTGCATAAAAAAAAACTATGAAAATTCCGAAGGCGAAATAAGAAAGAGCGAGAGTGAGAGAGACCGAGAGAATGCGAGTATGAAAGTAAGAAATGTACCTAAACGAGAGCACGAGGAAAGAAAAAGAGAGAGTGAGGGTGAATGATATAGACACACGAGATGGTAATGATAATAACGAAATTTCGGTGAGAAAGAAACGGAGAGAATGAGACGAAGGTACTTCGTTGCAGCCGTGATAACGCTCGTTGATCGAGATTAAGATCAAGATTTGGCTAATTGTGATGATAATCTCGGACGAAGTTATTTATTTTGAGATTAAAGAGGAAGTTAGTAAAATAAAAACCAAGGGTGCTCTGAAATATTTCATGTTGAATGCGAATGTTCTTAACCATAATTCGTCGATGGCGGCTAAGAAACGATCAGTTGTTTCCCAGAAAGTAAATTTTGAGAGCTACATATAGTTAAACACTTCGCGGACGAGCGACCCCTAAATATTGAATGTATGACTGTAAAAATACAAGATTCGCGTTATCTTGAGAAATCTAGAAAACAGTCACCGAAGTGTTACGTCATATCCGCCCAAAAAACCCGTCAATCCAATCAGAAAGTAATATCGTCTTACAAGTTGGAAAATTTGAGAAGTAAGTACTTTAAGATACTTTCTGAACTCGTCGTTTCTTCGATGGACGAATTAGATGGAAAATCGATCAAATTGGGTGATCATGGCTGCCGAAGGTCGCCTGCTTAGTTAAGGAATAGAAAGTGAAGATGATAGCGATGATGATAATGATGATGGTAATGATGATGATAAAAAAAAAAGAGTAATAACTGTCACGACACGCACGTGCGCGTCGCGCGTCACAATCGTAACGCGCTCGTGCGTACTGGTAGCAGAAAGAAAAAGAACAAAACGAGTATTAAATATATGCGGGGGCCGTGGAGAGGAGGGAACCTTCCTTTACTCAAAAGAAATATCGGTGGATTGCTCGTCAACCCATTGACTTTTCCCTATCGCCAGGTAAGCGAAAAGAAAAAATACAGCGGAAACACATAAGATCTGCATATGTATACCTCATATCCCCGGTTTTAGTGCATAGCAAGCACATTTTCGTCAGAACAAATGAAGAAAAAATTCTCGAGATATCTTAAACGTGCGTTGTCTCTCCTTCCTGTGAATCGTACCCTCCTCCCTCCCTCCCTCCCTCCCACCCGAGGAGAGCTCGCGGGCCCTATATTGCAATATTTGTACTTTTCCATGTTGAAACCTCGATATACAATAAATTATATTAACAAACTTCGATTCCCGATTCTTTTTTCATCCAGTCATCGGTTTTCTTTCATTTTGTTTTTGTTCTGATCGTTTATCAAAGATTAGGGATAGATAAATAACTATAAAATTTCGTTGCGAATTCATTTATTGATCAGTCGAATTGCAATTACAATCCATAGAAGTTTTCCTGTATTCGATATTCAATGTTAGTAATTAATGAATTAGTGAAACACCTAATAAAAAGTATTTCTAGAAAGAAATACATTGAGTTGGCAGCATACGTATATTTGGAATTAAGGACGTCCTAAATTGAAATATCAAGTAGTAACACCGATTGAAGTAGCGGCATCAGACAGCTTTGATGTAGGCAGAAATGCTGCCTACGTTTTCTAATAAACGTTTATTCAACATAGAATCCATCATGAAGACTACATATAGTCTTTTTGATAGTCGAGAGATTCTTAAATGATTCGTAAAAATTTAATCTTGTAACAGGAAAGTTTCGTATCGGAAATAAATAAAAATTTAATCGTTTATGAGGAAAAATTTGACATAACGCTACATCTATCACGTGATAATTTTTGCCAGGCAACCTATTTTTTATGAGAACCTTGCTTCTTTGGGGCGAATTCTAATCCTCTTATATAATTCTTCTTTATTTGATATTTTTCTGAAAAATTAACATTCACTTGACTTAAGCATAAAGATGTTTATATCTCATAATACGCTAATTCACTACTTACCCGTAAGTAATTTGTACACGTATAAAATCTGATTCCCTTGAACCAGAACACTCGGAGTTTTCTTTCCTGGTTCGTCCGTAATTGTTGCACTAGCCCCAATGCTCTGGCATTCCTTGCTGAACTCTTTAGAATTTATACCAAATGTTTCTAAATTGTTTACTAGCGTAACCTGTAATATAAGTACTAAATAAATATTAACGTTTCCATAATACTGTATGTATTGTAATTTTGAAGATCAATTACTGTACCTTCTTACCACCGGATCGGACGGTGACTCTCATATCAATAGGTTCCAATTTGCCCGTGTGTAACAATTTATTTCCAGCTAAAGTAACTTCGTGCATATGCGTCATACGTCCAATAAACTTATTTATTCCATCCTCCATCAACACAGTTTCCACATTCGCTTTGGTTTTCATAATACCTGCGAGTTGCGGATTTAATTTCAGTATCCTATAAACAAAACCAATTAAATGATCATACCAAATCACGATAAAACACATGATCGGCTAAACACTGCTTACTTTCCATCTTGAAGATTCTCCGCCTTCACATATTCAGTAAAACATTTTCTGATTTCAGCTCTTTTCATAACGTCCCCTTTTCTGCAATCATTGTATGGGAGTAAAATGTATATAATTCGTGTCATATAATACAGCATAATGGTATATGATGTAACAGTTGTCGACTTCTGCTCTGCAGAGAAAATCATTCTTTTTGCAATTAGTGTATCGCGGCAACATGACACATCCTGAGTGTGACACTATACTCACTCATATCTGAATTTTGATAGTACTGGCAAAACATCTGCAGTTACTTTATAACATTCGGAGACAACTGCCGCATTAGAAACAACTGGCTCCTGGATTGGTGTATGTTCCTCCACAATGACTAGTTCTTTTATAAGAGGATGATTAAACTACAAAAGGGTATAGCATAATTATATTAAGAGTAAGTTATGTTCCAACAAACTTCCATTAAAAAATCTTACCTTAATCGATAATATACTTTCAACACCTTTAGTTACAGAAGTGTTAATAATACCTTTTGCTTTCATTTCTGCTAAAAACAATGATAGCTTTTTATACCGAGATTTTTTTATATCTATGTTTTTATCTGGTGGACATGCAGCTATTAAATGATTTTTAAAGAAATTGGATGTCAACATAGGTAAATCATTAGATTTTACTGAAGTTTTACAAGCTTTTAGAAAGCAATATTCTAACAAACTGTCCATTTCCTTTAGTGGATCCACAGTTGCTTCTTCTTGAGCAGTAGATAAATTTTTTATTTCATCAGATTCCTCTATTTTATTTTCTTCCTCGCAAGGAGATTCAATCTCTGATACTCTATCATTATTTATTTCTAAATCGTCCATTATTTCAACAAGTGATTCTTCATTATTATCATTACTCGGGTCATTTATTTCATTTATATTTTCCAATTTATCATTATCTGTATCAATATTTGGTGGTCCTAAGTCTGGCCTTACAGGAGGCTTCCCTAATTGGCAAAGTGTATCACCTATTACATGTATAATTTCTACACATTTTCCGTGTCCTCCAGACATGTACATGTCTTCGCTACAAAGAGCAGTAAAGCCAACAGCAACCGGTGCCTAGGCCAAAAGGAATTCTAATTATACCTCTTTATAACTATGCTAAAATAAGAATAAACTTTTATAATAATGTACCTTATTATCATCTGTGTTTACTGAAACAGGTGTACCCTTTTGTAATTTTCCAAAAGAATATAATGTTACGGGCTCCTTGATACTGACTCCAGGCAACATTAAATTTGCACCTCCAGCTAGTTTTGTTACAACTGGAGGATAAGTTGTAAAAGTCCTTAACAAATTTGGATGATGCCATAAAGTGAATATAGTAGGTAATAATGCCTGATGCAAAGATTCAAGTTGGAAAAACATGGGTATTTTAGCTACACAATATACTTTTCCTGAGTGGCCACTGTAAGTTAAAATTTTCATAACGCTTATCGTCTCTTTCTTAGGAATCAACGATTGCGTTTCTTCATCTGTCAGCGTCGGATATGCTGCTAAAATTTCTTCGCATAATTTTTTTCTGGTCATAAACAATACAGAATTTATTAATATACATATAATCTCTTGTACATATAACACACTATAACTAAACAATCAAATTATACTAACCTTTCTGTTCCTTTCAATTGATTGTTAGATTTTACTTTAAATGGTTTTATAAACATTTTGATGTAGTGAAAATACGAAAAAGAAATGAGTTAAAAAATCCGAAAGTACACTGTTACAAATTCGGCTATATTCGAGATACAGGTTATCCAACCCTTTATCTGCTTTTTTAATCGTTGTAGTTCTAATCAAGATAACTAAACTTTGTTATGACGCAACTATTCCGCATGAAACATGCGTACAATGGTTGATCAATAGGTCGCAAAAATCAACAATTAATATAAAAAAATTTATGACAAGGGATTCAATAGGATCAATAAGCGTTAACAATTTTTCCAGCGTATCTGTTAATACATTAATACGAAAATCCTACATAAAAAGATATATTAACACTGTCATCTTTCTGCTGACAGTTGGTAGTATAGTTATCAACATTCGAATCGACACAGGCACAGATCCAGCAATTCGTCTAATTTTTGGTGGTGGGAGCTGTTATCATTTTGATCTATATTAGTTCCCTTATTAGCCGCATAGCGCTACAACAAAATTCTTCAGACAGAAGCTGAGCCACCACACATTCGTGTCTTTCATGTTGATTTTTCACGTTTCAATTTTCGGACGGTTTGCCCTAATCTACTTAAATGAGCATCGAGACTTGTTTATATGACCCAGAGGCACATATGCGCCACGGTCGTATACACCCGTGATATACATTGAGGAATTTTGTTGTAGCGCCATGCGGTTAATAAAGGAACTAGGCTACATCAAATCGTGAGCAAAATGATAACACCTGCCTCTATAGGAGTTGTCGGACCTGCGTATAGTGTATATGACTATGGAATCGACTTTACATTTAATCTTAGTTAATTGAGCTCCATTTAAATATGGGATATTTAAACAAATAAGCATTTATCTGGAAATCCATCTAGATGAACCCTTTCTTCGATTGATTCAGAAGAAGTTTGTGTCAAAAACAAAAGGCATTATGTATCATACATGATAATAATTTTAGTTGTATTTTATAGTATATAATATAAATTGTGTCCTCTTACGGCACGCGGGAAAAACACGGTCAAATATACTGTGCGATCTGTAGATCATTATAACCTCAAAACGTTGCATTATGCATAATCAATCTATGAGAAGTAGCCTTTGAATATAGTGCAACTTTAAGATATTATCGCTATATCCCTACTTACATTTGCCACTGACAGAATGGCAATTATGAAGATATTGTTACGACCAGACATCGCGAGGTTTACGGGGGTTAGAGTGAGTTACATTTCATACGCCATTGTTATATTCGATTCTAGTTACTGTATTCCAAAGTAATACATGCCTTCTTTTGTTTATTTCATAGATTAGAATATAGAATTGAATATAGAATTGAATATAGAATATAGAATATAGAATATAGAACATAAAATATAGAATTGAATTCATTCTACTAATGCAAATTGAGAATGTAGTAATAATTTATTTATTCGATTATGTGAAGAGATTTGCGTTTATTGATAATTCTATTCTTTACCTTATTCTTTTTCTTCTTCTTTCTTCAAATGCCGTTTAAAAAATACGAATTAAAACGAATTACCTTTTATTTAAAAATTTGAATTTTTATAAACAATTTTTGCTATAAATTATTAACGAATTTAGTGTAAGCTCTTATTAATTATTATTTTAATTGAAAAATAAGAAATGTATATTATATATATATAATTTTTTGTAACACATTGTGTTAAAAATTAATTCTAGATTATAATTATAATGCTAATCAAGACAAATGATGCAAAATTTATCAGACATTGCTTTATGTGCTAGTATAAAAATATATTGCATAGCATTCATAACATGATGAGTATATTTTTACATCTTACTTCAAGGTCTTGTGTAGCTGTTTTAATATCTTGCTCCAAAATAACTATAGATCCCCTTATGAAACATATAAAGAGCATTAGTCTCATTTATACATATATAGATACAGAAAATAATGAATATTAGTGAAATTTTTCTTTAAGGATTATTATATTTAAGAAGTTTCTTGATTTTCAGCATCTAAGTTCTAAACCAAAATTTGGTTTACTCTTTGATATTGATGGCGTAATAGTGCGTGGCAAAAATGTATTACCACCCGTACCAGAGGCTTTTAAACAACTTACAGGAAAAGATGGCAAATTTCGCGTACCAACTGTGTTTGTTACTAACAGTGGAAATGCATTACGTAGTCAAAAAGCAGCAGATTTATCTAAATGGATAGGAATTGAAGTGAAAGAATCACAAGTTGTTATGGCTCATTCACCATTAAAATTATTCGAACAATTTCATAATAAACAAGTATTAATAACTGGACAAGGGCCAGTTAAAGAAATAGCTAAAGAATTGGGATTCCAAAAAATAATAACTATTCAAGAACTAGTTAAAAATTTCCCATCTTTAGACTATGTAAATGTGAAAAAGAGAAATCCAATATGTGGTCCTGTGAATCCAAAGTTTCCTGCAATAGAAGGCATTGTGTTATTTAGCGAACCAATTTCTTGGGAAACCCCATTACAACTAATGGTAGATCTTTTAATGACTAATGGCATGCCTACTGGTTTATCTGATAATATCCCATATCCACACATTCCAGTATTGGCATGTAATATGGATTTATTGTGGGTATCAGAAGCACCGATTCCTAGATATGGGCATGGTGCTTATCTGTTATGTCTGGAATCTTTGTATAAAAAGGTTACAGGAAAAGATATGATATATTCTGCTCTAGTCGGAAAACCTAGTGAAGTTACATACTATCATGCAAATCAGATGCTCCGTGAGCATGCTAGAAGTATTGGAATAGATCATAATGTTGATACTATATATGCTATTGGGTAATTAATACTTTGAAGATATCAAAAAACTAACGTAATTTTTTAAATTAAAATGAGTACTAAATTCAACATAATTTTACAGAGATAACATCAATACTGATATTTTTGGTGCAAATTTGTACGATAAATATCTGGCATATTCCGCGAAAGAGGAAGCATTAAAGTCTGATAAACTGAAGAAACTACTGAACAAGGATATCACTCCGCCTAGCGCAAAAGCTTGTATTAGTATTTTAGTTGAAACTGGTGTTCATAAACGAGATTCGGATTTTATAGCGGAACATAATCCTAGAGATTTTTTACCAGTCGAAGAAAGCTTGATCAAGCCTGCATTCGTAGTGGAACATGTTGGCGAAGCTATTAAAGTCGCGTTTAAGGAGGAAAAATTCGACTGAATTAAAATATATATAGAATGTATTTTTAGACTTGGAGTGTTCACATGCTAATATCGATTAAGGGGAAAGAAAACAAGAGAAATTAGATATATCTTCGGTAATGTAAGTATTACGTTAATTTCGTCAGCCTTTTTTTGAGGCAAGGAGCTGAAGAAAGCTGTAATTGATTACATAGACACTATACTTTATTGAGCGTTTTACTTTTTAAATCATTCTCGTCACTTTTATTTGCCATTTATGCCATTTTATCAAAAAAGGGGAAAAAAGAATTGTGTCTAATGTAATCTTACGCTAATTAGTTACAAAATTTTTATTTATCATTGCGAGTCAATCATGTTTGCGGGCAGTACAAGCTTGCACATTAGAGATATTAATTATAGCTGAAGTGGTCTTTCAATCTATAGAGATTTTTATGTATATTCGAAGTTTTTATTATTTATGTTATACAATTATAATATTTAGAAAAATGTTCGAAGATAATGTTATATGTATATATATATGCACTCATATATTGAATGTATACACAATAATTTTTAGTTCTATTTTTAATCATGTTAATTATGATGTGATAATTAAATTTTTTAATATTTCATTTCATTTCATAATCTTATCGTTTGATCTTATATCGTGAGATTATAGGAAGATTTTCCTAACAGTCCTGAGTACGTAAAAAGCGTTCATGAAATGAATTAAAAAAGAGAAAAAATAACGAAATACGAAGTTCATGGAATGTGCTGTGTTTCAATCGAAGACAATTGTAATCTAGTGATAGACAGATTATTTAAACTATTCTGTTTAACATTCACTAGTGAATATCGCTTTATACACAGAACCTTGTCTAGTCCTACCAAACAGTTTCACCGTGCATAATTGTATCGACTCGTAGTAGTGATCCGTTATTGAATGAATAAGGCGTGAATGAATTAGTTACCAAATTATTAAACAATTTCACCTCAATCATTATATACATATATAATAATTTAAAGAACAGAGAAAAGATCACAAATGTTCTATCGATGTGCATCAAATAAGTTTTATGAAATATTATAAACGCACACTATATAGAAGAATTTGATTCAGCTGATCATAGATCATAAAAATGAAATAAATAGACCACACAGAAATGAAGTGAAAACAAAAAATATACCAAGACGTCTATTGAGATGAAGACTGACCTACATCGATTACGAACATTTTCAGTAGTCGGTCGATAACTTGTTTTAACGTTAATGAATTATAAGAGAGGAAAAAAGAGAAAACATTGTTTCTGCTAGCGATAGAAAATAACTTAAAATTTTGCGAAAGAATAGCGCTCCGCGAAATTAGTAATGCTATAGATAACGAAGGGCAATTATACGCAATTATACGTACATAATATTGTAGAGTGTTGCGAGATTGAAAGCAATACAAAATTACATTGTTTTTTATTTATAAAAATCATTTTATAGGAGCCTTATCCATAAAACAATCTGTGACTTTTATAAATAAAATTAGAGTAAGTTTTAGTACATTTTGTGATTACTTATGTTCATTATTTCTGCATTGTCACTAATGTATTTCTTTACTTATTTATTTCATGAAAGTCACAGATCGTGCCAAGAAATAATTCTCTAAAACCTTCTTCTGGAAAAAAAGAAAAGAAAGGAAAATGTCAAAAGGAATTTCGATTTCCTCTCGAAGATCATCTTCGAGTATCGCCTGTGGATCTATCACGTGGAAGATAAAAGACACGCATACAAATTTTCCATATTTATCCTTTTTTATTTATTGTTCGACACGAATCTTACACTCTATTTAGTTAAATGAACGAAACGTTCATTGAACCTATATTTTCTTTTATTGCACGTCTTGATTCTTACCTCGTGAAAAAACGACGCGATAAATTAATTTCCATTATAAATATTTTTTAACGACGTTTAAATGATTAATGAAATTAATTTTCGTTTTACGAAAACGATTTATATGATTTGTCGCGTTACTTTGGGTTTCGATCATTGTTATTGGAGCAAACACAAACAACAACAAACGGATTTATGTCGTATATTCTTTGAAAAGGAACAAATTTTCTTCTGCCTACCGCAACAAAGTGTAATTGTAGAAACTAGACGCAACAAAATATACAATATATTTTTCGTTAACAAACTACCGATTTCGTCGGATGAAAGTGTTTCCCTTCGCGTTACCATTTTTCATGTACTTAGTTTCTCTGCTGCTTTTCGAGCGGAATATCGGTAAGTAGACAGAAGAATGCGCTGCATAGAGTAGCTAAAGATGCACATTGAATAATACTATTCTTTTTAGATGGTGTGCAGAAAATTGAGTCGAAATTAGTCATTGCTTCTCATTATGGTGGAACATGCAAGACGTCTGGGTCTCATGACCTGTGAATTAAACCGTCAATCGTTTGATGAAATAATTCAATTACATATCGGTTCATCGCTGTTCGCGAAGAATAAATTTAGTTTCACGTTGAAAGGTTTATCAAGAGTTCATGGATATTTGTTTGAATGCATACATTTCCAAGTTCAATAATTACGATTGACATTTTTGTATTAATTACCAGTGTAAATGTATGAAGATGAAGATAAGAGACAGTTTTTCACGGTACACGAGTCTACAGTTTTCTACAATCTACGATAAAAAAGTAATCATAAGTGGTCTTTTTGTGTTTAGAGTGCAAGTTGACGACAGAAAAACCGGTTTCAAGCAAGTATGCGGGCTATTTGAAGTGTCACCTAAAGATTCGACGGGTGTCTCGCCTTTTTGGGTTGAAAATACATCTTTACCAGCAATCAGTAAAACCTAACGAGCTAAGTAGCACGGTTCTATTTACACATTTCCGGCAGCAGAAGAAATCGACCGAGATTTCTTCGGGATGAGCTTTGCGTGAGCCTCTTCTTGGACACCAAACGTGCCGCTCCATCGCACATGATCTTAATTTACGAGTTCATTAATGGTTGAGTTATCGTAATTGACCTCATCGCCGCGTTACTAATCAGCGTTGTGTACTCGAGTTACGTCAGCCCGTGAACGGAATTAAAAACGTAGCGTACGATCGTCGTATTTGTGAGACTTTTTAAAATAAAAGATCGACGATAAAAGATTGCAATAAAACGGAAATGATTCACCGAATTTATATTGATATGACCTCAAGTATGAAATAAAAGTAATTCGATTTCTTGTAACAGATAAATGACATCCATAATGAGAATGTTGCGTTCACTGATCCAGTTTGCGAAACAGGTTGCAAGATTGTTAATCAAGGTTGATGAGTAAAACCACTGACACCTAGTAAGGGGATCGTACTTTTGTATGTTATGCATTGACTTTTTTATGGATTTTTTATGTTCCTTTTGTACCGTTAGTTAGCCTAGAAAATATAAGAGAAGCATGAGAAATTAATACTTAGTAATGAAATAATAAATGAAAGTAATAATGAACCGAAATTTTTAGATCTCCAGTCAAAATTTCGTCGAAATCGATGCGTAACACTTTGCTCGGCTCGCCCATAAATGGACAAACCGGTTATTCATTTCTGTGCCATGATGCACGCCTTGCGGTGCAGTAAAGTCGCGGATGTCATTCCTAATTCAAAATTCAAGGCTCGTCTGAACATACATAACTGGAATATGGTCCGAAGATTACTGTACATTTGTAAGCCTTTTCCCGCTCGAAGAAAAAAGAAGACGAAGAAGACAAGACATTCAAAGTACGGTAGTAGAGGAACTAAAGAAATACTCTATAATAAAGTTTCAACGTTTTTGTATTTCCCAATCGCATCGTTTATAATCAAAGCCGCTACTACTAATCCACTTGTGGTCGAGTAGTTTATTAGAAAAGTAAAAGTAGCTCGATATCATTGGTAATTAATCTTACTATCCGCGAGTTGCACACCCACGCGGATGCGAATAGGGTCGTAGGTAATTGACCCGCGAAAGTTTGCTTCTCACGTTTAGCCACTCTCGTCGCGAGAGACGTTTCACTGTCACCTTCTCCCCATTGATATCTCGTGATGGTCTACCGCGATTTTATGTAATTAATCACTCGCTATAAACCACCGACTGCGACAGAGAATCATTTCTAAGAGAAATCACTCTCTGTTCTACACAATCTTACGAGCATTTCCCTCGTTAATATGTTACACGAAATATGTACAAGATTTCTAGATATCCTTTCCATTTCATCTATTACCCATTCGATATCCACATTCAATAAATTAATAAAATCAATCATAATTCTAACACTCGTCTGTACTCGCGTTCCTCTTCCTACGTTTCTTCTCGTAACATTCCACGGCTTTCTGAACTTGTTCTAAATAATCCTGGATCGTGTTCTCCATTGTCAATTCTCTCGAATCCGACCTGGACAGAGACCTTTTCTGCACGAGAGCCGTGAGCATCAGAGTGACCACAGGGAGAGTCATTCCCAAGAGAAACGTTGGTGTCATGATATTCTTCAGGCCGTGTTTCTTGAATCCTCGATACAATTCTCCCCAGATACCGTCCCCTTCTTCTTCGTGATACTTACCTAATTTGCCGTACAGATGAGGTTTTATTTTGCCCGTTTTGGCGATATAATTGTAGTAATAAGGATCATAGGATTGAGCGTATAGCTGAGAATAGTAAACATCTTTGGCTGCCGGTGGATGATCAACTTCAGGGAACCAAGCACTAGCGTCTTCGTACGGAACCGGTGGATTGCTGATAGGTGGTGGCCCACGATGAAATCCCGGTGGCTTCGTGTAGATTACTTCAACGGGTGGACCTTTCTGCTTGAACGGCACTGTTTGAGAAAGTCAATTGCAAAATTAGTTGCTAATTAAAGTGAATATTTATCTCGAGTGAAAATTATCAATTACGGCATTGGATAAGAAAACTCTCACAAATTCCCTAATTAATGGCCTCTCTTACAATGCGAATTGCGTTAAGAGAAATTTCCCTAAATTACAGGATTTAGTAATCGAGATACACTTCTCGATTGCTAAACCCGTTTCACCGTCATAGTTGACGTATCTCGTGTTAATTAGCAGATTCGATAAGATTCTCAAACATCCAGAATATCCGTATAAGAAAGTTTCCTTCACGCGCAGCTTAGTCTTGTTAATTCCTTGTTAATTAATTCTCGATTACGAACGCGTTAGTAATATATCACCTGGAGGAACCGGTCCGGCGTAGAATCCTGGACCACCCCTGGATTGCGCATAGGGAAACGGCTTTCCACGCACCCTTCTTACGCGTTGATACCATCCAGGATAGTAGACGTCGTTCCTTGCCTGAATTCCGGATGCGTACGGTTGTAACATCTGCTGTTGCTGCATCAGTGACGCGGTTGCCGGATTTGACATAGTCGAACGAAGATCCACCGAGTTCACAGGCGTACCGTAGGTCGGTTGATTAACTGGTTGGCCAACTGGAAAAGTTTGCGGCGCCTGCCTTTGTTGCATGAGTTGCGCAGTCAAGTGTTGGTTCACTGGAGAAGACACGGTCTCCTGATTAACACGTGTTACTGGCTGTTGCGTTAATTGCTGTTGATTGGCGATCATTGCTTTGGCATTTTGAGGGATTTCTCGACTTTGTAAATAATGGTCCAGAGACAGACGTGATTCCTCCGGCGTCTTCGAATTAAGAAAAGAGTTCAAGGCAACTTCAACGTTGTTGACGGAGGCGATTCCTTGATTGTACGTATTCCCAGACAGATGACGACCCGATTGAACGATCCTCTGTTGCTTCTCAAGGTCCGACCACGTATGATTCACTGGATGATCATCGATGGAAGTTTTTATCGGATTTGCATATTGAGATGAGTTTTTAACGTCTGAGAATAGTAGATGAACGTTTTGAGGAGATTCTGCCGAAGCGTCGATCACGTCCACTGTGGTTTCCTGTCGTGCTGCAGTTTTTTCGGAGAATCGTGATTCCACAGCCGTGTACTCGGTATCCTCCGTCAACGGGTTACCCTCGAAATTCAATTGACCGTTGGCTAATCCTATCACGAGGACCAACAAGATCGTTGCCGCGTTCATGATTCTGGAATTAATGGAAAACCTACTGACTCTCCGACATTCTGTCGAGTCCAAATTCCTATACGTCGTGAAATACATAGATATTTTCATCTATAGAATTCGATATAGAGACCTTTACTCCTTTAGAAGTTTGTCGATTGACAGTTTCAATTTGCGTTCATAGTTAGACCGATTAGTAAGCAAGAAGAACTACATACTCTCGAATCCTTCCACTTATATGGCTGCTGGTCAAAGTGAAGAAAGAAACTAGTTATGCAGAAATGTTCACACCGATGTCGTTACGCGTTTAGAATGATTATCAACCAACACCTTTCTTCTGTTATCTATTCTACTTTTCAACAACTTGTTCTTACTTTCGTGTGAGAAAAAGAACTGAACAGTGTCTCGTAATATTTTTATTACTAATACCGCGTTGCTGACTCGAATTGCGATTCAATTAAAAAGTACGAGCATCGAATAATCGACACGGTAAAAGTAGACGTACCGATATAGTCGTACAATGTACATTCATGAATCGACCGGCACGGGTTAAAGACTGGTGTAACACTTTCTTCGGTCAAGGTGAATGCAGCCACGCTGACATGAAATACGCTTCCATTAATCGTTTCCCGATGAGAATACTTCCTCTACCACGTTGTTAAGATTACATACTAGTGTTTCTTCTATCGTCCAAGTCTTGACAGAGTACCTTGCCCGTAAGACGTTTAACGATTTATCCAGAAACTCATGTATCTTTCATGCTTCTATTCGAGAAGATCGTAAATACATGCAGGAAGCATGCGGAATATTTGAATTTGGCGTAATAAGCCGGCGAATTATGAATCGAGACATTACCACAGGGCATGAAACGCAAATTTTGGATCGTAGGATGCTAGCTATAGATAACTCAAAGCCGATCTTTAAAATGGAATTTTTAATGAACGTTCGAGAGCTCGGTGAAAAAGAGACGATGAATCACTGAAGAGAAAACTATCGAAATGTATCGGATGAAACGGCGGAAAAAGTCGTTCGGAGAGAGTGGCTACGTTTAAAAAGCAGTCCACGTGCGTACACTGCTCTTCATCCAGAGTTCAGGGTCATCTCTCAATTTTTCCAATCATTTTTTTTTTCTCTTTCTACTTTATCTGAATCGACCAAATAAGAAAGATCGCCAATTCCATGTTCGATAATCTTCTATTCGAAATAAAACAGAGATAAATAGAGGTTCTTCCGCCTATTTATACTCGTATCTACGCTGTCGAATATTCTTTTTTATTGGTCTTTAGTAACAGTTATTAATGGCAATCTTCGAAACCAAGACATGGAAATTTTGTGGCTTATCTACAAAAAGTTGGAATTCTAATCCGCGAGACTTTCTAAAAGACCGTTAATCCATTACGAATTCAACTATTGGCCGAAATTCGAAAAACGCCTTGATTTCTTTTCCGCCGGTTGACAGCGACCGTTGACACCATTCGTGAAACGTGTGCTTTGTCAGACTTGAAAAGCAAACTAACTTTTCAACGTCGGAATACATTGAGATCGTGCTGCATAGATCTCTCCAAGATCGTTCATAGGAACGTACATGGAAAAGAAACAGAAATGCCGTGTACCGTGAATGATAACTATTCGACGGAACTGTACACGAAAAACGAAACCGAGCTGGTATCGCATAGTTAATTCAATTATTTCGTGGAAAATTCTTAGAAACACAATACTTGTCAATGTATGTCAATTTATCAGCAGTCGAAGATGGAATTGTTTCGAGACATATTAAATCGAATTGTAACATCGAGTCAAGTTAAACTAGAAACGTATAAAAATTATTTTTACTCACACAGTTGACAGAAAACGTTCCGGACGTTCGAACACTAAATTTTTCGTCCCGTCGCAAGTTTCTCAGTTACGATCGAACATCGAACATCGAGCAGACCGATCCGGCCGATGTAGCAAATAGCACGCGAGAGGAGACCGTCCATCGGTCCGACTGGAACCAGGAATACTGAAGATCCACGGATCCGATGAGAAAGCCATTCACTTCGACCACGCTCCCTACCTTCTCGTCGAGCTTGTAATCCCGACCCCTTGTCGTTCGTTACCTGGATGAAATTGGTGTTAAATCAATCCGTATTACTTTCAATTCGTCGAGCGGCCTTCCGGGACCATTTTCAATCTTTTCCCTGAACAATGGTCCCTGTTCTTTTGTCACGAATGTTCGAGGAGAAAGTGAACTGCGAGTGGAAGTCGGGCAAAGAGCGTAAAACGATCCCGAGCCAGTTACCGTACGACTAATTAGGATTCTCCGATTGTTTGACACGCCTATATAGGGAGATCTATTTTTATTCGTGAATGAAAATATTTTTATTTTGTTTTTATCTTTGCATTTCGATAACAGTAGTAGAAGGTATCTAACACTGGTAGAAAATGTTAAGAGCGTTTCAAGGTTATCGATATCTTTAACTTTTTCATCATTTTCTATCGTCATCACGATCGTACCTTCTAATTGTTAAACGACAAGGTCTTGAGCAACAACATCGATGAAACGTGTAATTGTGTAGCTTACAATCGTATAATCTTTGAGAAATGTCGTTCTTCCGCAATTGCGGATGCTAAATCACTTTTTCCGCGATCATTCGAGCGCGTACGAGTCGCATGAGTCTCGACTAGCTGTGCACTACGGGAATAACAGTCTCGAAGAGAAGAACTGATGGTCGATTGTTATGGGAAAATTAATAAGTCGGATCGAATGCACCATTTTCATTAATCCTGTTTCCTCGATCTATCCACGAACCGTGGAAGATCCGAGGCTATCATCGAGCGTGAAAGAAGCAGTTATTGATGTAACTATATATGTAACGCTGCAACGCAATGTAAAACAATTTTACGCTTCTATTTAAATTACAAGTTTCTCTTTTCCCCAATTTGCAGCATCGTGGAGACTTTTGTATCGTGCAACTCTCGAAGAAAAGCGTTAATTAATGGAAGAAGTGGGTCAGCTGGAGTAGACAGTACGTTGTTCCGTAGATCGGGTATAAACGCGATACGAAGCAAACATCGGAGGATTTCTGTCCAAACACAAGCAAATCAAACGATAGTTTAAGCATTTTGTTTGTGCTGGCTTTCGAACGATTGCTCACAACGACGCGACGTCATTGTAGATGCAAGTCTCTCGTCGACACAAATCTCGGAAATTAAACATCTCTTGGACTACTTACCTGACTCGACAAAAATTACTCTGGTTAGAGATCGTGCTCGCGTCGTACTACTTTATTAGCGCATTACGCTCGCGCTATGGATTTTAGAAAAAGAAGCAATAGGGCAAAAGATATAATGAACACCGTCTGATAGCGAGATAGATCGCTGCAGCTAATTCTCTTTCCCGACACTCTCGATACGTGGTCCACAATTATGCTAATCGACCCGTATATATCTCTTCTCCGTGCATGATCAGATAATTCCAAGATGAATGCAAAACGCTCTGGAACGAACAACTTGCGCCAAACGAGATATTCTTCTATCGAAAGTTCAAGATCGGCGAGCGTGTACGAGATTGCCACCTGTAACGTGTCAAAAGAGGAAAGCAGTGGTAAGGTCCTTTTGAAGGATCGTTCGTACAGTAGCGAGAATTCTCGAGTAAAACAAATGTCGAGAAGCGTTGTAAACGAACAGTCACGAAGACAATAGGAGGGGTGACCGACGTCCACGCTCCTCCTCATCCTCCCGATGGCATCAGCCGCGATCGTGCAAGCGAAGCTCCGGACCGAACGTTATATAATTGTGGCAGATTACTTCCAGCGTTGGTCACATGCATGCTGCCACACTGTGTGCTTACAAACGTTCTCCCGCAGTGGACATTCGACCACCGAACGACGTAAGCGTCGCAGCCACGAGGATGGAACAGCATCGAGGAAGAAACACTGGGATCACGTGGAAACGTCTCAAAGATCTGCTGTTAGATCTTCATTTAAATTCAGATCGTGTGTTTTATCGGTGAGTGCACGCATCATTTCCAATTGTTGATCGTTTTCGGGGCGGGGGGTGGGTTTTCCTGGAGACGTTTCGATTTGGGGTGCAATAAGATATTCTTCTAGCTTCTTATACTTTTCAAACGAGGATTTTGCGCGTTTTCGTCAACTTTTATATTATTCCACCGATTTTCGTAATAATACATCCGATACATTGAACCTTTTTGGAAAAAATATCTTCTCGCGTTTACAGTTGAATTTTACGACTCGTAAATTATTCGTGGAAAGGAAAAAATAGATCGGATGTCGGCAAATTGAACATGATCGCGTTCTTCTGTCGGAAGTGCATTATCTCCGTTTTCACGGTGCTCGTGATGCGCGCCTCATTTTGCATTGTCACCGAAACGTACCATGTTTAGTCTGGTTGAAATAACAGGTTGTCTCGGAATGAATTGACATTAAAACGTGCCTCCGTTAACAACAGTCTCATACGAAGAAGTTAATTGTCACGATAAAATCTACGACGATGGCGCATTTTTTATTAGAGTCCTATACGATATAAATTTAGTAGGAAAGTTCTCGTTCTTTCGAAATATTTCACTTTGTAGAGGAATTTATATCTCGTATAAATTCAATTCAAATGTGATTTGTGATTGTTGGTCGAATCGCAATTAGGATCAATCAATCTCCACGCGCCATAGAGTATGTTTTCAATAGGTAATTGCTCGAACTATGAAAACATAATAAATCTCGTTGTCGAATAATGACATTAGTGGCGTCGAGTTTCGGGGCTTGAACCTTGTACAATTTAATCCACTTAAGGTGAGATCATCGCGACCCTCTTAATTAGCTGAATCAAGAATGGTCGCTTTCGTTCCACGAAGTGGCCTATATTAGCTCATTGGTTCCTCTGGCGCCACCCTCTGCGTTTTCTTAATATTTCTATTAAAGATCATCTCTCTCGTTATCCAATTATAAGAAGGAATTTTTTTCTACTTAATCGTTCGTTATTTACCAATTAAACTTTGTGTAATGCCTCGACGAAAAGGAGTAAAACCTAAAATTGTTAATTTGGTACGTGAAATGTTGTTTCTAAGTCGATGCAAGTGTTTCAACGTACAAAAATTCCTTTTAAATCAAAGTAGCTTAGATTTCAGCTTGCTACACGAGTTATAATACTTAACGCAGCTCTACAAAAATTATCTTAAGCTTCTCAAATGACACTGTCTCCACAATATTCTCTTGCAAAAAATGCTTCGTCCACAAAATAAAAAGTACTTTCCATAATTTACTTTTTTTTTTTTTTCTTCGAAATATATGACTACTTACTATCTTGTGTCCCTGTGGAAGACGTTGATAAGAAAAAAGTGGTTTTTTCAACTTTCCCCAGTATTGGTTTGAGTATTGGAAAAAGACCCTGGCTGTGGCTGTTGGTGTGCTTCTGTATAAATTGTATCTGCGCACCTGGATTGTACTTCTGGAGGGAAGAATTCGACGACATCGAGCTCTTCGTGCCCGAAGACTCTGTGATACGTAGCGACGCCGCCTGGGTGAAGACACACTTCCGGGACGATTTCCGATACGAAAGTATCATCGTCACGGCCCCCAACGTTTTGGAGCCGGAAGTGCTGCGCTCGGTACATAGGCGATCATGAATTATACGAGTATCTACGAAGGTTCTTTTCCACTTTAACGCATGATTCTTGTCAAAATTTGTCAAGACTCACGAGATTTACCTAACACTTGGGATCTGTGAGCTGAACCTCCGTTAAATTAAGTCGGTTGTTGAACCGTGTTTCCTTTCTTTCAGATTAGCAAGATAGAACAGACAGTAAAATCAGTCATAGTGAACAATAACACCTGGGAAGATGTGTGTGCAGGGTAAGATATAAATGAATTAATCTTTAATCACTTGTTTTTTATTCTTGACTCGAATAGTAAATAAAGATCATATCGAATTACAGGTACTTCACGTGGTTCAACATGGACAACACGACAGACATCTTCAACGATCTCGATGTCACTACAGACATCCTGGTCGAATTGAACAACACGGTGCTAAAAAATGGATGTATATATCAATCCATCATACAACTTTGGGAAACCAGTATAAAGAAGGACGTTCGTAATTTGACGAAGAAGGAGGTGCTTGAGGACGTGACCAAAGCAATCAGGAACAAGTAAGTTTCGAAATAGAGAAAGGACTCGACATTTCAACTCAACTCTTATATCACTTGATCTGTTGCAGGATCAACGACAATATCCTGCTGGATATTGCACCTCTGCTTTCGGGGATATTCTATGACAAGAAAGGTCGAGTTAAAGGTGCCAACGCAACTATTCTACATTGGTTGCTGAAGAAATCTAATCCAAATTCAGCCAACTGGGAACTAGAGTTCATAAATCGCGTTCTCCATTCGAATATCACGTTTCCTCCAGGAATGGAGGTATATGCGATAGCTTCGCGAAGTTATTTAGACTCCCTGCATCAAATATTGAACAGTAATCTGACGGTGTTATGCTGTGGAATATCTTTGATAGCAGTCTACGTAATGGCGATGATCGGTAAATGCAACGCGCTAGAACAACGAATTTATCTTTCAATAATGGGGGTGTTCGTGGTTGGTCAGGCGATTTTGTCCTCTTACGGAGTGTGTTACTACTTGGGTTACTCATATGGACCTATACATTCTATCCTTCCGTTTCTACTTCTTGGTATAGGCGTCGATAACATGTTCGTGATCATGCAAAGCCTGGAGAATCTCTCAGAGACCGATCAGTCTACGGATATTCCGATACGCATTGCTAAAACTATGCAACAGGCTGGTACGATGCTACATTATGTCATATCGTTTTTAGTATACACAGCGTAGTTTCTTCTTATTTTTTATTTTACATTTTTTTTAAGGTATGTCGATCACTGTGACATCCTTCACGAACATTATCGCGTTTGCCTTTGGCATTACAACTGTGATGCCTACTCTCAGATCTTTCTACGCATTCGCCACATTAGGGATTTTATTTTTATACATATATGAAGTTATATTCTTCGTGAGCTGTCTTGTATACGATGAAAAGAGGCTCGAAGCTCGCAAGGACGGTTGCTTCTGCCGACCCAGATTAAACTGGAAACCCAACGAATGTAGTCAGAGAAACACTCAACAGATTATCTTCGAAAATTATATCGGCCCGGGAATCACCAAGATCACAGCAAAAGTAATTATCCTATTAATCACTGTCGGCTTCCTGTGCGTTAACACGTGGGCAGTATTTCAATTGGAACAAAATTTCGACCCACTTTGGTATTTGAATCAAGACTCCTATCCGATTCAGTTTAACAACAAATTGAAACAGTATTTTCCAAAATATGGAAAACGAGCCGCAATTTATATGACCGGCGTAGATTACTACGAAGACCGTGAATCTCTTTCTCAGCTGGTAAAAGTTCTAAAACGTAATCGGTTCATTAACAATAGCACCCTCGAGCCATGGTTTATTGCCTATGAGAAATGGCTGAATGTTACTGGTAAAGGTGAGGCTTGATCTTGAAGTAATGCGATTTTAAAGATAACTCAATGGCAAAATTTTTATTATAGGTGATATTGAGAGCAAAGAAGAATATTATAATATTTTGACGGAATATTTACTTTTGACGAAAGAAGGTCAAGCATACATAAAAGATATCAATTTCGATAAATTGCCGGCTGGAGAATATAATATAACGGTATTAATAAACTTTTCTGTACAATGTAGTTGTTCAATAGCTGTACGTCTCAAGGGATTCATTTTTATTTTTCTCAGACGTCGCAAATTCCTATACAACATGTTATGATTAACACAACATCGGAACAAATACAAGCGATGCAACTTATCAGGGAATCGGTTCAAGCAACGAATTTCTCTCATGGCCAGGATTATATAGCAATATTCTCGCCTGATTACGTTTCATGGACAGCAAACAAAGTAAAGACCCTAATCTTTTTTGTTTAATACATATTATACAATCTAATCATTACCTTTTTGTAGGTCATAGGAGAGGAATTGATCAGGAATTTAGGTCTAGAAATAGTGACCATCGGCGTAGTAATATTGATGTTCCTTAGAAACTTACGAGCATCATTTTGGGTGATTTGTTGCGTATTCTTTACACTTGTTGACTTACTGGGTACCATGTACTTTCTAAATTTGACCATAGAAATGTCCTCGAGTATCATGATTCTATTATGTGCGGGGCTGGCGGTTGACTATGCTGCACATATGGGATTAGAATTTATACGCGCAAAGGGTAGCAAAAAAGGTAAATAACGAGTTCTTTAACGTGCGAGATTGAAGAAAAGGATTATTACATGGATATATGTAAATGACATTTACAGAACGTGCGATAGCGACGCTTTCTATTGTTGGTCCAGCTGTATTTAACGGAGGTTTAAGTACGTTCCTAGCATTCGTTTTGCTAGGTTCTAGCGAAGCTTACATATTCAATACCTTCTTTAAGGTATTCTTAAAAAATTTATCTATTTTTATCAATAAAATTCTGTTAGAAAATTTTATAAGAATTGTACCATTTCAGTTATTCACATGTGTAGTGATATTTGGTCTGTTTCACGGTCTGTTATTTTTACCAGTAATCTTAAGCATAGTCGGACCTGAAGAAAGAGTAAGAAAAGAAAGAAAAGAAACTGTAGTAAGAGAACACAATGGATATTGTAATGTTCCTTTATCTCAAAGTGAGAAAGGTGATATTTTATAAACAAAATTAGAAGCTACAAAATATTTATTTCTTTCTTTAATGATTTTCTACAATGATTTTTATTTCTTTAGAAGCAGGGACTGGAACTGCCAAATAAAATTTGACAATGTCTCAAAGACTGCTTAGATAAGTATTTGATTAGAAGATTCTAGAATATAAATTGCAATTACAAGCAATGCACATGTACTGTAAAACAGTAGTTTGTATATTCTTTGTTGATCTGTCCTTTTGTAAGAAAAAAAGAGAAAAAAATAAAAATGTACCCTTTAAAATAATAAATCCTAGTTATCTGTTTCGTCTACCTCTGACTTCTGTCCATTCATCTACAACTTGCATACCATCAGATGTTTCTTCTTCTTCAGAACTATCATTTTCTATAGCACAAGAGGTTTGAATTCTTTTTGCAGGTTCATTTGTAACAAGCCATGGTTGTAATGGTGGCAGTTTCGCAAGCTCTATCGTTACCAGATTTTCAGTATTTTCAGTACAATAACGATAAAACTTCAATAATTCTTCTGCAACTTGAATTGCACTATCGTCTTGAAGTTCTGTATTGAAATGCTCATCCATGTAATCTTCTAATTCATTGGCAATTTCACTACTATTCAGACCTTCTAGGGATAGAAAAATATCAAAAATTAGTCATAAAATAATTAATATCAAAATATAGTACAAAATAAATGAGTTAACGAACCGTTTATGTACATAACCTCTGTCATGTAAAAGCAAAAATCTATAGCCATTCCCTTTGCACCCATACCATGTTCCACTGCCATCTAATAAAAAGATATTCAGTAAATATAAAATGTAAAAATATTTATATATATATATATATTTGTATTTACATACATATATTTTATTGCAGATTTGAGAAAATAGATATTTACCCTTAAAGCAGTCCAATTACTGAAAATACGTTGTATAACCGAAAGAAAAAATTCTTTTGTATTTGACATTTTATTTGCGACGAGAAATCCTTAACAACACTTACTAATAAAATTAGTAACGATAATTAATCACGATTACCTATTTAACACTACCCATCTTGAGTTGGCAAATCAGCCATGTGCTTTTAACGTTTCAGGTACAGTTAGGTCGTTAAGACCAGGTTAGATTTTACATTGTAAAGTTGCTCGTAGTTTATACGTTTATACATACATATATGCTGAAATTTTTAGATAAAAATGTATTTCTAAGTATTTTAGACAGCTTTTATCAGTATTATAAGGTAAATATTCATTTTTTATTATTTAAATATAAAGAATAACATGCAAATGGTTATATATTTTCTCCTAAATAATTTGTCACAAAGATATGTCAGACGCTTTTGAAGAGATACAGGCAATTAAAATAAAAAGAAACAGTCTACGAGAGAAATTGCAGAAAAGAAAACGCGAGAGACATGAATTATTTACTCTTACTTCTACAACACCAGTATCATCCTCCTTGACAAATGAATCACCTCTTTCTAATGGTAATTGAAGTTATTCCTTTTTTATTTATTTCTTTTCATATATTTGAAATTGAATCTTAAATATAATTTTATTAAAGTTTTATTTAAGTGTTAAAAGTAAGATACAATTCTTTGTCAGATTCAATGGGACATTCACATCGATCCGACCACAGTGAATATGAAAGAGACGTGTTATGTATTCTACATGAATCATTACCTAATTTACCAATTACATCTGCAGAACTAATAGATTTACTTCGTAAAAATCTTAATGCAGATGTATCATCTCCAGATATTCACAAAATTTTGGAAAAGCTTGCAGCTCAAGATATTGTTAAGTTAGTAAGTTTCTGCATCATCCCAAATCAGAACTTCATATGCAGATAGATAATTGAATGCTTTTTCAGAATCAAGGAAGTAACGGAAAATGGTGTTTTTGGATATACAGTATTGTCAGTGGCAGAATCACAATCATCATATCAGTCTCAATCAGATGACACAGAAAATCCAGAGAGTGCAGAAACATCTGCATCTGAATTGAATGACTATGTACCTGCAGAGAAACAACCCAAATTAGATAAGAAAAATACAGAGGATATAATGTCACTTATATCAATGCCTACTATTAGAGAAAAAGAAAATAAGAAGGTTGGAGAACAAATTTTAGATTTGTTATCAAAGCAAACATCTAAGGAGAAATCACTAGCTGAAAGATTTCGGTCTCAAGGAGGAGCACAAGTTATGGAGTTTTGTCCTCATGGTACAAGAGTAGATTGTGTCAAGTTAAATGGTGGACCAGGATTTGCAGAAAAGTGTAAAAAACTTCATTTCAAAAAAATTATTCAAAGTCACACAGATGAATCTTTAGGTGACTGTAGTTTTCTTAATACTTGCTTTCATATGGATACATGCAAGTATGTATTCTAAATGTAATAATTTTTAATTATAATGTAAAATCACTTCTTTGTTTTATTTAAATATTTTATTGTATAGATATGTTCATTACGAAGTGGATGGGCCAACAACTCAACAAAAGGAGTCAAACGAAACAGACAATGCAAATAATAGTGCAGTGAATAAAGGTTTAACAGTAGATAGTAAAAATGGTAGTAGTACTGCATGTCCACCTCCTAGCGGATCATTAGGTAGTGAATTGACTCTTTATCCACCACAGTGGATACAATGTGATTTACGTTATCTTGATATGACTGTCCTGGGTAAATTTGCTGTTATAATGGCTGACCCTCCATGGGACATACATATGGAATTACCATATGGTACCATGTCAGATGATGAAATGAGACAATTAGGTATACCTGCTCTTCAAGATGAAGGTCTCCTATTTTTATGGGTAACAGGGAGAGCAATGGAACTTGGTAGAGAGTGCCTACAATTGTGGGGATACGAAAGAGTAGATGAGATCATATGGGTGAAGACTAACCAATTACAAAGGATAATAAGAACTGGCAGAACAGGTCACTGGCTAAACCATGGCAAAGAACATTGCTTAGTCGGCATGAAAGGAAATCCGAGAATTAATCGTGGTTTGGATAGCGATGTTATAGTAGCCGAAGTTCGTGCAACCAGTCACAAACCTGACGAAATCTATGGAATCATCGAACGTATGAGCCCAGGAACAAGAAAAATAGAATTATTTGGTCGACCACATAATGTTCAACCTAATTGGATCACATTAGGCAATCAAGTAGATGGAGTTCACTTGATTGATCCACAACTTATTAAAGCCTTTAAAAAGCGTTATCCAGATGGAAATTCAATGAAACCTAGCAAACCGTAAGCATTTTAGACAATATAAAATAAGTGGATAATTATTTTATTACAAATGTTATAAGAATGGAATTGTGTTTAATAAAACTTGAATATAAATTCTCGATTTTCATTTTTTTATTCTGTTTTAAAATATCCATAAAAAAATAATTCCATTTTTAAATACATAAATGTGCATACATATATAAATTGCATTTACAATTACATTAATCGATCCCCATTTTTTCTTACAATTAATATCAGAAATATTTGTACAGATTTATTAAAGGTATTTAGTTCATATCTTAACTAGTATGTGTTTACATTTATATATATATATATTATTATTATCTTCACATTAGCACCTCTATTACATACTTAAATATATGAATATATATATATATATATATATATAATTTATATATTTTACATTAATACTATTTACTTTAAAATATATAAATAGTACATAGGTAAGTACACATGTTAATATATAATAATTCTTTTAGATTGAAACTGGAATGTGATCTTTAAAGCGTAATGAAATATGAGCGAATTTAACAATAATTTATGATACACACAGATGTTCCTAGTATGATTGATTCAAACGTTTTTTTAATGGATCTAAATTATATTTCTATTTATATATGATAATGTATGAACATAAAATAATAAATTCAAAGTTGTCTAATGTTAAACAAAACCAATGCTGCTGCTACGCTTCTGTTTTAAAAAACTCCTTTTTAATGTTAATGAAAAATTATTTTCACTTGTTTTATTCATAGACAATCTAGTAGATCGATTTGTTTTTGATGGTGTTAAAATTTCCTCATTTTCTTTTTCACTGATGTCAATTACGTTTTGTGATGGACCAATATTGCATTTGTAAACTTTACTAAATGAATCAATCCAATGTCTTTTTCCATGTTCATCTTCTGTTATTAAAATTTGATCTCCAATTTTAAATCCATAATCAAACTTTTCATTTGTACTTATGCAGATTTGTTCCTTGAGTATAAAAGGACAAAATAAATTGTACCTTTTACTTGAAGATCTTGTTCCACGAGTTATTGCAAAGCCAGTGTTAAAAAGAAAACACTGAAATTTCTAAAAATCATCATTTTTTTCGCATGTATATATAAATTTGTATCCGTTTATTTACACATAATTAATAGAATCATTTACAAAATATTCTTACCATTCCCCTTGTATCTTTAAGCTGCCCTTGAGTGATTAACTCTGTTGCATTTTCAATGCATTTACTAGGATCATAATCTAGTTTTACATTAATTTTTGACTGAGCCAATTTGCATTCTGCATCACCCATGGTTTTATCTATATTTTTAAGTAAATTGGATATCAAATCATATGCTTCCTTTAAGGATGTTTGATCTGTATGTGTTGCTACTGTATGCTTTAATATTTCCTTAATCAATAAAGGGTATTTAACAATTCTTGATCTTGCTACATCTATATAAGTCCACAAATCTATTGAATGAGGAGATTCTAAACGTTTTTTTAAAAAAGATTGAAAACGTTTGTTTGTCAACCTTTTTTCATCTAACAAGTGTTTTGCCCATATTTGTGTTCGGCACCTTTCCAGGTATGGGTTTGTTAATGTTGGAATCTGAAAAAATTACGATAAAATAAATATGTAAGTTTGTAAACTGTGTTAAACATTCAATTTAACATTTGTTTGTTCAAACATTCAATAGGATTGATTATAACTAACCCAATTTAATATTGTAGATCCAACTGTTTCTGTAAATCCATATTTATCTCTTAGACCAATTAATTCATTTCTCAATCTATTATGTATTTCAATGAGTTGTGTTATATCTCCAAAAACTGTAACTAATTCATCAGAACTAAAAATACTACTAGATATCAGTGGTTGATAGTAAAAATCTTTGAGAACACATAAGTCATTAATGAATACATTTTCTCCACAATACAATTCATAAATTGCTTCTTGTCTTTTCACTTCTTTTCTGCTTAAAACATAATTAGGTTTATCCTTGATATTTGTATTTGCTATATCAAGTACCCAACTTCTGAGTGTAATATTATTGGAGTTTTCAATATTATTTTTGTGCCTAAGAAATAGAGTTGAATTAAATGAATGAAATATCCTTGAATTATGTTGAAAGTATATTTAATAATGTTTTTTATACTTTTTCTTTAATGTTCCTGTATCTGCTTCGTTATTCACAAATGGCAAGTCTGGTGTATTTGGTTGAATCGTGAAAGATCTATGAAAATTATTTCCTTGTTGTTTACTACCTAGAGTAGAAGATGAAAAGATGCTACTGGCCACTTCTGTAATTCTTCTTCTTTTTTTCTTTTTGCCTACATCTGATTCGATAGATATGTCCATTGAGTTGATACTAATAGCATCACTTTTTGGACGTTTTCTTGTTCGCTAATTTTTGAGTAGAATGTCATTTATAATTATAAACACCAACAATATACAAAAGTAACTATCAAATAAAAATGTATTTAAAAATCACTGATGAACCATCAGTTAAAATAAGCGTAAAAAATCCATGATATAATTCATAAAATTAAGAAATAAAACACTTATAATGTCATCAAACATCTACTAAACTAATAGGTTAGTGAAGCTTCATATTTAAGATATCTTCGACAATACGTAAAAACTTACCAGCCAAAATTTTTTTCGAGGTTCTTGAAATACATCTTTATTTGTATTGTTGCTATCATCATACATTTCCCCTAAACTTTTAAAAGCTCACGTATAATTGAAATACACGCAGTTATTCATATTCCATAAGAGATAACTGATGAGATAACCGTTGGTGTAAATGTAGGCCTTTGAGAAGAACAACCCATTAGTTCAAACTTTACGAGTGTAAACTCTTAAATACTTTCTATTTATTCTAATATAATGGATACTTTCACTCTCATATTATATATTATCTTTATATTATTTCTTATGTGGTAGGAATTTTTTCACATTATTTAAATTACTAGAAGCGTTATTTGGTAGTTAATTAACCCTAGCTTTCCTACATTTACTTTGTATTTAATTCGTAAATCTATTTTCTACATTTAATTTGTATTAAAATATTTCCTTAATCTCTAACATTGTTGAATTAAAAAGGAAACATGCGAATGTAAATTTTTCTATAGGTTTCCGACAGTCTTTGTTTAATTATATGCATTGGAGAAGGAGGAAATAACTGAATCCATTTTCAAATGTATAAGTGTTTTGTATTGTGCCGCCATATCTACGTTGACATATTATCTAAAATTTTACAAATACTTTTACTAAAAATTTGCTTATTTTTGTATTAGTTGAGAAATAGATATTGTATGTTTTATTATTCGGTAAAAAATTGTTTCTTTTCGGATATTTATATTTGTCTTTAAACACGTGTTAAATGAAGAGGTTAGGGCAGGTAACTTAATATTTAAAAACAAATACCTAGTATATTTATATCCACTTCGTATTTACATTCTTTTTTATTGATTTATTAATTTTATTAATTTTTCTTTTCAGGAAACACATTTCCATGGAACGGCAATGCAAACGCCGTTTTAAGAAATCTATTAATACGCAAACTATGAATACAAAGGATAAAAAAATTGATCAATGTATGACCCCACACACAGAGCGTAATGCGTCTGGTCGAAATTGGGAAATGTTTAAAAATTTAGTACTTCACCCATCACCATCAGGTTCAGATTCTACTGATAAAGAAAATGTTAATAAGAAATCTCCACATCAAAAGTCAAGAAAAAAGCATTATTCATCTGCATTGAATGTAGATCATATGTCACGTAGTGAGGAAGAAATAGTTTATGATGAAGATAAAAAGAAGCTAACAAAACAGATAGCAATAGATTGTGAAATGGTTGGCATTGGAGATGGCAGTGAAAGTATGTTAGCTAGAGTATCTATTGTGAACCGTCATGGTTTTTGTGTTTATGACAAATATGTAAAACCAAGAGAACCTGTTCAAGATTATAGAACTAAAGTTAGTGGTATTAGGCCTCATGATCTCCAAAATGGAGAAGAATTTCAGATTGTTCAGAATGAAGTAGCAGAAATTTTAAGAGGTCGCACTCTAGTTGGTCATGCATTAAAACATGATCTTGATGTACTATATCTTTCTCATCCAAGGAAATATTTACGAGATACTTCCAGATTTAAAACCTTCAGACAGTTATCTGGAGGGTATACCCCTAGTTTGAAGAAACTTGCACATGAATTATTAGGCAAAGAAATACAAACAGGGGAACATAACTCTATCGAAGATGCAAGAGTTGCAATGCAGTTGTACGTGCTGTACAAAAATATGTGGGAATCTGAATTTTATTCTAAATGATAATTTATACTGTAATGAAGGATCTATCTCTATTATCTATCTTTTAAATACAAGATTATAAAAAATACATAGAGAATAGGTTTATTTTATATAAAATAATTTTGTATCAGACATTTGGATTTATCTTATGATTAAATTCAATAATAATATTCACATTTTATTTTATAAATTTTAAGTCTACCTATACAGTGTGCCTGTTTTATCCATATGTGACTAGATATTTTTGAAAATATGCAAGATATGTAATAAAAAATAAATGATAAATATAATAAAAAAGGTTTATTTAAGAGCTCAAAATGATCATAGGCCCTTTCAAGGTCATTCCATGATCACATAAATATCAGCAGTACATGTTTTCTAATATGCTACGACTTTTACCTGAACCATTTTTTCGTATTTTGTATATTTTTCAAAATATTTAATTGTATATAGATAAAACGTAAACATTGTATATGTTTAATTAAAACTGTAATTTATGTAAATAAAATACTGTTATCAGAATGTACAAAAAGGGGAAAAATATATTTTCAGAATATATTTTCTTTTTGATAAAGATTTTACATGATTATTTTATTTTTTCAATGCCAATTATAAATAATTGAATTACATACAGATGCGTGATTCATAAATATTTGCGTAATGAGAACGATAAGAACGAAATCTATAATTTTTCACTATCATTGTTTCTTATAGTGATTCTATGAACGAACTTTTATTAACAAAATATTCAAATATTCAAACATGCAAAAAATACCACAGTATACAGTACTAGCTTATTTTTGTTTTCTATTATCAGAGGTGCTCAATCTTTACGTCAATTCGGCTCTTTTTTCCTTATAAAGGAAGAAAAAGAATCTGTATAAAGTATAAGCCAAATCGTCCCAAACATAAATGCCAATGTAGAATTATTCCATCACCCTTAGTGGATATCGCAAATTAATCTTTTGCACTCGGCATATTTCTCATTTCTCTATTTGTTTCTTTTTTCCTACAATGTGGAGGCGAAACTTCAGGGAAATATATATTTCTACAAAATTTGGAGCTTGTGTAATTTTGTGCTATATAATCACCGATAATCTCTTTGTGTCCCCTTAGGGGAGATATCCGAGTTGTTTGTTGAATTTACAGCGTATCCTTAGAGGAGACAGTCGAGTATGAAGAGTTAAAATTCGTGTCGGACGGTATAATTATTTAAAAGTCAAGCTTTGTTGGCAAAGTGACATTCGAACAATTTTCCTTCGACTTTAGAATACAAATACAACTGCCCTTTCTTGAACGAAATATATGGAGTATGGGTAAATTGAAACATGATGACAGCCTATTATGGGAACATATTACATACATCAATCGAAAATCCTATTCTTGGTTTTAGCGACCCTCCTATCAGCATCTGGGCTTTTTATTTGATTGATATACAGGTACAATAAAAAAGGAATTAAAATATTTTGTGGAAATTACCATTAATACGAATCATTATTTGTTGATCGAAGTTACGATTTGTTTTAAAATTTTGGTGGTGCAAAAAAGATTTCCCTCGCATGAAAGATATGTTACGAGAGGAAAACGAAGAATTAGGAATTCATACAAGCGATGTACTGCGTAAAAAGCACTTTCGTTTATTGTTAAGTAAATGGGTGTGTATTACAAGCATCTTGCAAAGACCGCAGAAATCGGTGCAATGACTCCGATCATTACAAATATTCATAAAGATTGTTTTATGAATTTTGTAGATGATTTCGTAAATTATGGGATCTATAACTATAGGTCAACAAAGTCATTAATGACTATCCTATCCGATGTTAAAAATTTGATGTCACGGCATAATGTAATGTTTAAATTTAAACGCGTTGATTAAAAATTCGATCGTCTGCAATGCTGTTAGAAGTGAAAGATGTTGTTGTAGTGTTTAAAGTCGTTATTAACTCTTGTCCCTTTTATCTGTTATATGTTTGAAAGTATGACGCGATAGTGGGAAAATGAAATCGATTGTTGAATGTATTTTTATCAGACGGCTTTCTTTCTTTTAGAAAATTAATTCAAGCTTTTTGTATATGTAAAAGCTAAACATATGTATATAATGGACATGTACTAAAAATATATTACAAAAAATAAATGTTATATATGATTTTGAAAGCGACTGATCACATGACGCCACGAAAAGAGTTATCATCTAAAAGTAATAAAAAAAAAACTCCTTTACCGTTTCAAAGTTAATGCAACAGCACGTTTCCAAAGAAGGAGCAAGGTCGCTGATCGTCGTTACTTGCCATAGCTAGAATTTTATATACACATCTCTTATATAGTATACATACAGAATACATGACGACCTTGTTATCAGCATCAGCCACTTTTTGAACGATACACTTCGACTTTCCGTATACTGATTATTTCACGCTTGATCACTTCATATTTGTTCGCTGATCATAATACACGAGTACTGCTAGCAATTCAACACGCGATTATTTGATTTTTCCTCTGGTAAGTAAATCGTTACATCAGTCAACATAACTCGCATTCTACTAAATCAGAATAATCTACAAATTCAAATCGCGCTTTCTATTTACTTCTCTCAAATATGTATATTGCGATATTTTACTACATTCTATTGCAAGCATTTTTACGTCGATTGAAATATGTTTTACTATCCAATGCAAGAATGTCGGTAGTAACGAAAGTGTTCTGTAAGAGAAAAAAGAAGAAACGTTCACGTTCGTTACTTTCAATCGTTGCACCTTTCCATTTGCAGCTTGGCCGGGTCTACTAGTACACTACACGATATCATTAACGATTAAATCTGCATTTTCAATCTCGTTAGATATCATTTTTGGAAGTGACAAGTGACACGTGCGTCAAAAACTACTTTTTATATCACCATTTGGCTGCTATTGAATCAAGACAGAAGTCCTCGAAAGAATAAGAAATTACAGGTGTTATCCAGAACAAGTGCATTTCAAAATTTCCAAGTTTTGCCGAATTCTTCAGAAATATGAAGATCGCCGTGATCGGTGCTGGATCAGCTGGTCTTGCTGCTTTACGGCATTGCACTTCCGGTACATACGACACTGAGGTAATATGCTACGAAAAAACTGATCAAGTAGGCGGTACATGGGTTTACAGGGAAGAAACTGGTTTAGATCTATACGGTCTACCAATACACACTAGTATGTACAAAAATTTAAGGCAAGTCAACTATAGAGTAATACTAAATTCGCGATAAACTGTTCACTTATTGTGTTATTTTTAATGATGTATTCGATTGTTTGCACTACATAGAACGAATCTTCCGAAGGAAGTTATGGGGTATCCTGATTATCCTGTTCCCGATACTCCCGACAGTTATTTGACTCGCACGCAAATACTTGAATTTTTAAATTCTTACTGCAATCATTTTAATCTTCGCCAGTATATCCGGGTATTTAATCATTTTTAAGAATATGAATTATGTTGTTTATTATTGCAGAAAATATTCAAGAGTATATTTTGCAGTTTTTTCATAACGTGGAATTAGTGGAGCCATCGACAGGGGACCGGAAGTGGACGATTAAAGTAAAAAATCTAGAAAAAGATACTGTCTTAACAGAATCATTTGATGCAGTTATGGTGTGTAATGGTCATTACTTCGAACCCAGTACGCCAAATTTAAAAGGTCAGCAGACTTTCCAAGGGCAGCAATTGCATAGTCATGATTATAGGATGCCGGATATTTTTACCGATAAGACTGTACTTGTACTTGGCGCCGGGCCTTCCGGTATGTAATATTACCTGCGGCCTTTGGTTTTTGTTGTAAAATGCCTTTTTAATATTGCTTTTATGAAAACAACAGGAATGGATTTGGCTTTGGAAATATCAAGGAAAGCCAAGCGTGTAATTTTAAGTCACCACCTGAAGGATCCTATAGGCACTGTATTTCCTGAAAATGTTGTTCAGGTAACCGATGAAAGGCAAATAAAGCACACATGTAAGAAATCTTATTTCAATTTTTATCTTTCCAGAAACCAGATGTAAAAGAAGTGACTGAACACGATGTTCTTTTCGAAGATGACAGTAAAGAAACCGTGGATGTGCTTTTTTATTGTACAGGTAATTATCGTCCAACTTTATTTATAAAACGATAATTTAATCTTTCTTTTCGATCAAAGGGTATAAATATAGTTTCCCCTTTTTGAGTGAAAAATGTGGAGTACGGGTAGATTCCAATATGGTGACACCATTATGGAAACATTTAGTATCGATCGAAAATCCCACCCTGGCCTTGGTTGGTCTTCCCTTCTATGTTTGCGCTTTCAGCATGTTCGATCTGCAGGTGCGTCTGAAAGAAAAATTGATATTGTAACGTTTTTTTTTATCGTATGAACTACCTTAGTATGAGTCACTTATTTATTGATCAAAGGTCCGTTTTATCTTGCAATATTGGTTTGGCAAGAAAGACTTTCCTTCTAAAGCGAATATGTTACAAGAAGAAGCGGAAGAATTTGAAAACCGCAGAAAAGAGGGCTTGGAAAAAAGACACTTCCACATGATGGGATTTAAGCAAGGCCATTACTATGACGATTTAGCAAATACTGCGGGAATAACACCATTGCCACCGGTTCTTACAAAATTGCACAACGAAAGCAGTACGCGCTTCTTAGATGACCTGGTGCATTATCGAGAAAGTAGATATAGGATCATCGATGACTATAATTTTATTCAGCTTTGAAATGATATATTTTGTTCGCAATAAAGAATAAACATTCTCCGATCTTATACAATTAATATAAAGATATTTTGTGCTGAATAGATCCAATTATAGAGATTATATAAAACAGACTGAAAGTTACATTCTTATCCTATTTTATAATATTAACGACGACATGATAGATGAATTGTACACTTTTTTGTTACGTAATAATATAATAGTAAATCAGAAAAGATTTTTTACATTAAAGTCAGTCATATTTCGTACATTTTCCTAAAATAACTTGAATCCTGCTGAATTCATTTTATAATTGAATATCGCGCCATAAATTAGTGCATAGTTCAACCGCGAGGTGATGTCTGAACGCAGACGTTAGTTAAATGCCTCGGTTACGTGCGGTGCAGGGTGCAGTATTGTGTGTGATGTAGCTGTGTGACGGACGCGAGTACGTTTCACTCCATTATCATTTCGAAATGATGAGCATTTCCGCGGTCCCGAAGTGATTCAGTGTTAAAATATTTCAGCCCGTTTTTACGGCTGAGCCACGATGGTTGAAGCCATCGGGAAACATATCGAAAGAAATCAACGTAAGTAAATCTCCGTGTAAAAAAGTATCTACGGAATAGATGTTTCCCTGGTTCGTGCTATCGTTATTTTCTACTTGCTGAATTTTGTGCATCCTCGATTATGCTTATATACAATTATACAGCGTGATATTGAAAGCAACGTATCGTTGCGCAGAAGAAAAGTAGAAATCCTTTTGTCGGATCTTTCACCGTGACAAAAAGTTTTATTTACGTCGACGAGTCGGCGACGTTACTTTTCTAGATAGAAAGTTGCATTCAATGATGCGCGATATGTGGGCTACGCACAGGCTCTCTCGGG